TAAATAAAATTAATATAATAATATTATATATTTAAAAAAAATTATAAAGTAGAAACACTATTAATTATATAGAGTATAAAATTGTAAGGAAAAAATAAAAGTATGTGGTAAAAAATGAAATCATTCGATTTCTTCGATTCGTTACTTCGAATGCAACCTTCGATTTTAAACATAGAACAAAAGTTTACTTCGTCGGTGGTCGAATACGTTAAGATCGACGGGAATAGAGATAAAATATTTCAAACGTTTTAAAAATCTTCTAGCAAGAGCAAAAAAAGAATATAAACCTTTTTGAATTGGCACGCCGAGTTATATTATAGTTTTCGAGATCTGCACAGCACGTGTGCTGAAAACGTATGCGTTACACGTGCCGCAAAATATGAACCTAATGCATAAAATGTTTCAAAATAAACGCGCAAAAGTTGATCCACTTTAAATGATCGAACTTATGTATCTTTTCAAGGGGGGAAAAACAAGTTCGTAAGATAATTAGGGGGTGGGGAGGGGGAAAGGGTGATGGATACCTGTACGAAATCTTTGATCTATAAAAAAGAAATCAAAAAAACAGATAGAGAAAAATTTTATTTTTCTTCCTAGGTTTTTTCCTTTTTTCCTTTTTTTCATGATTGATATTATGTTGAGAGAAGACAGGTTAAAAAATAAAGAAAAAGAACAAGAAGTTACTCTCGTTCAAACGGTGGTTTCGTATTCTTTCACTCCTAGGACTTGGTTATAACGGCTTGAAATTTTTCCACGCGAATCGGTTACGCTCGAGTTGTTGCAATAAATAATATCGATGTAACTAACAGGAACCGTCGATAGTTAGTCCACCATAGAGGGATACGTCATGCGATCCTCCGTTTAACATCTTGAATCCGGTTGTGATACACTTATATATGATGCTTCATATTATAAGCGTTGAAAAATTGTTTATACGTTTAGTACACTTTGCTATCTTCAAAGTTATGAGAAATCGAGATTTTTCTTTTTTTTTTTTCTATTCTATACAGTAACGAGTTTATGTTCAAAGTTACAGGTGGGGATTTATTTATGCGCAATTACTCGTTTTTGTCAAAGAAAACAAAACAAAACAAAAACAAAGTAAAACTCCTCCCTCAACGCATTTGCGCGATATATATAATAGTTTTCGCTTAAATTTGATATATATATTATTTCATTGAATAATTAAAGGAAATAAATTATTATTAAATTTCAATATAAATTTTATTATTATTTTCAATATTATTATTAAATATTATTATTAAATTATTAATTAATATATATTGTATATACATACAATACTAAAATATACATATAATATTAATGTATGTATATATATATGGTTATTTTTTTATGTATTATTTGTTATATATAAAATATAAAATATATTATATATAAATTATTAAATATAAAATATATAAGGAGTATTATACAAAAATATATATATTGTATTATAATTATAATAATATTGTAATTATTCTATATATATTGTAATGTAACATATATATGATTAATTATTTATGGCAAATAATTTATACACGAAAGAAAATACGCGAAAGTTTATTAAAATCAGCAAAGAATGATTTAACGATTATATTAATAATTGGAACAAGAAAGTGTTATCTTCTATACTTTTGATTTACTTACCACCCCCACCCTACCCCTATTTTAGAAAAGTTCATTAAAATCAAAGGCAAACTGATGATAATTGAAAAGGCAATAATTTTAGGCGACGTTAGAAGAAAGTTTCGAAATCGTTCGTCAAGACTCTATCCCATCGTAACGATGATGATGATGATCATCATCATTATCATCATCATCATCATGTTTTCCGTTAGATTCTCTACTTTAAGGTTTATCTTTCACTTTCGGGATGGTTTCAACCCACTAACCGACTTTAAAGTTGGCCGAACGCTCGACGACAAGTACTACTCTCGACAAGAGAAAGATGAAAAAGAAAAAGAATGAGAGACACGGAATATATCGTAACTAAAAAGTTCTGTTGCTTAAACAGAGATGAAAATAACAGTGACGCTATCAATCCGCGATTTATTTTGTATATCAAAAAAAAAAAAAAAATAACATTTTTTTAGATGGACTTATATAAAATATTATTCCAGTCTGAACGATGCTCCTGACTTGAAATTCCATTTAAACATATATTTTTATTCCCAAAATTATGATAATAATATTCTCCTAATACGTTATTCTTTTTCTTTCTTATGACAATAATAATATAAGATATCTGTTTTAAAAGGAATAAGAATAAACGATAAGAGATGATAATTGTTTAACACGTTTTCTACCACGTGTACACCGAAAACGGTAATAGAAATATGAACCGAAATGATAAATTAATATGCTCATAAACAACATGGCAGGTAACGTTTTAACACGTTGACTGTCACGCTAGTTTTCAAGAAAATCTCCGTCAGGCCCACGCACGCTGCTATATTGCGCTACACAACAATCCCGGTATATAAAGATACTGTGTCAATAGTTACTTATTATAGTAAGAAACTTGATAAAAAACCGAATATATGGTCACCGATAAAATTCAGAATGTGCGTAATATTGGAGCTTTGGTTGTCCAGGATAAAATTTTTGAAAGGGTCAGCAACTTTAAATATTTAGGATCGATCATAAACCAGACAAATGAAATAAACGAAAAACTTAAGAAAAGAATCAATTTAGACAATGCATGCTTTTATTCGGTCAATAAATTACTCAGCTCGCGGTTGCTATCTAGCCGCTTAAAAATCAGGATATACAAGACAATCATCCTATTGGTAGTCCTTTATGGTAGCGAAACTTGGTAGCTTACGTTACGGGACGAAAAGAAATTTAGAGTTTTCGAAAATAAAGTTGTTCGTAAAATCTTCGGTGCAAAACGCGATGAGGAAACGGGTGAATGGAGAAAACTCCATAACGTAGAAATACACCGACTGTACAACAAAACGTCGTAAAATCACGCCGATTAAGATGGGCAGGTCACGTGGCGCGCATGGGGGAGAATCGAACGGCGCATAAAATATTGGTCGGTATACCGAACGGAAAAAAACCACTGGGTAAACCGAGACAAAAATGGGAGGACAATATTAGGAGAGTTCTTAAGGAAATAGGCTATGAAGACCACGAATGAAGGGGACGCGCGGGTTGACGGAAAAACTCGCGGGATTTAGTATTTACGGGATGAAGATAGAAACATAAGAAAACGAACGCATTGTTGAAAAGTGTCACCAAAATATAGAACCAACAAAGTTTTATTCTAGAGTGCGCTGTAGTTGCTAAGATTGTAGTATGAATAAGTTGAAGTATGTATTTTTTTGTTTTACAAATACGCAATTATGGAGGCAATGCTCTACGATTTTCTGTGACGTCACTAGGATCACACTGATCATCACGCCGCCCTAGTGGCAGAAATAAATGTTGGTATTTTGTAACATTTTTAAGGGACACAATTTACGACAAATTGCTTATAGCGTTCGTTCTCCTGTGTTTCTACCTCCGTCATTTGCGGCAATGAACTTTTGAGTTCCTAATGCCATTTAATAATAATAATAATAATAATAATAGTAAGAAAATATTACATTTAGAAAGAAATTCTTATCCTATGTTGAAGATAATCTTTGTTGGAAGATTATTAAGGAATTTTTGGTTTCTTATCTTCTTATAACAAAAGATAACGAAATATTTCAAAACATGCTCTTGAATAAAAAAATAAGAAATGCTTGCAAATAATGTTATTCGAATAAAATATTTTATACGAATTGATCAAAGGTACGAATAAACATAAAAAGAACAACAACGTTTTGCCCAGATTGCATTGATCAACCCCAACTTTTATATAGACTGTTTCAAAGCATTTCATTGTAAATAATTTACTTAATAAATTTTTGATATCAATTCAAATTTTATTAATAAACTTTTAAACCAATTCAGTAGTCTCATATTCTGTGAAATATCTTCTGAAATATTTACTAATTTACCTTATAAGGGTTAAAATAAACGTCAGCCGTATATGGCTGATTAGGCCTGTTCAAAATTTTTGTCAAATGTGTTAAGGAATTTGAAAAGAACTATACTCACATAATAACTCATCATAATAATGCATTATTCATTCTCTTTTTTATGACAATAATAAAAAAATACCGGTCTTAAAAGAAATAGAAATAAACGATAAGGGATGATAATTATTTAAATTGTTTAACCTGTATCCTACCATATATACATTGTAAACGATAATAGAAATACAAATTGAAATGATTAATTAATATTGCTCATAAACAGCATGGTAGGTAACGTTTTAAGGAATTTGGAGGGAATTATACTTACGTAATATCTATGATTCAGTGACATCTCTTCTCCCTTTGGACCCCTCTCTCTCTCTCTCTCTCTCTCTCTCTCTCTCTCTCTCTCTCTCTCTCTCTCTCTCTCTCTCTCTTTCTCTCTATTTCTTGATAAATTCAATCTTCGTACAGAAGATTCGTACGAATTTTCAAAGATTTAGTTTATGTATGCGAGATTTCTTCGATACTTTTCTCAGATCGTTGGTTGGTTGGTTGGTTGGTTATCAATTCTCCTGGAATAAACTCGGGGTCCCCTTCTTTGGGAAAGAAAAAAAAAGAAAAAATTCTTGTATTACCATGGAGAGAGTATAGAGAACATCGTATATATTTATTTTTCTTTTTTTTTTTCGAACGAGAAAACCCTCTTTGGTTCTTTATCGTTGGAAAGAGCTATGCGATTTACGTAGGTGTACGTGCAAAGTCCCCTTTACTCTTGTAGCAGACATCAGGATCCCCATAGTAAACGGACGTATCCAGTATTATCCTCTTTTTCCTTTTAGTATCAGCCTTGGGTTATTTATTGTCAAAGTTGCACTTAACTCTAGTCTTTTGGTTATTGTCGCCTTCAGTCTCTAGAAGTTTCTAACGCGTAACACCTCTCTCTTTTTCTCTCCCTTTCTCTTTCTCTTTCTCTCTCTCTGTTTTTTTCTCTCTTCATTTTTATCGTCTTCTTTCTCCACTCTTCACCTCACCGAAGAAGAACCTCGATCGAAAAATCTTCGTTCTGTCTGTCTGTCTCATCGAAGATCCGATAAAACGTTCCTGCGAAAAGCTTCTCCGTATTAGGATTATCATATCCGATAAGATTATTTTGCACGTTCTTGGAACCGCGAATGCGAATAATAGGTATATAATGTATAAAACCAATGTATATACTTTTAAACAAACTTATAAATAAGACATATACAAATTTTATATCATAGGGAAGTTGGACAGGTGAAAAAAAAAATCAGAACATATTGTTTTGATCTTGTTGAACGTTTCGTCCTTTTATTACTTCTCTATGATATAAAGTTTGTATATATTTTATTTTGTGGACGCGAAAAACAACTAACTGATTTATAAATAAGTAGAGTACATTAGAGTATTTAAAAGTATTGTTAATTAATCGTTGGTAGTGTCTATTGTTGTTTAAAAGCGGAGTATATGATTTATGTACTGTCCTCTTTAAGATTCACCTTCAGACTGGTACCGTAGTCATCTATGAAAGTTTTTTTATTAAATGTTGTTCACATGACTTGTTGTGCATGTGCATAACGAAAATAATCTACCTAATTCATAAAATTTAAGATTAAAACATTCTAATTGTAGTATTTTTTTTATTCTAATATAATTATTTTAATGCTCCTGCGCAGTGATGGCTTCCAGGGTAAAATATTCTTGTAATATAAGTAAAATGTATTAGAGTATTACAAATAATTGTTAATTAATCGAAGGAAATGTGTATTATTCTTTAAAAGCACTGTGTACATCGTTGGAGCACTGTCTTCCTCAAAATTCACCTTCAGACTGGCACGTTGTCATCTATGGAAGTTTTTTTATTGAAAATTGTTTATATGACTTTCCGAACGTTGCGCATGTGTATAACATAAATAATATTCGTAATAATTAGAATCTTCTTCTATTAAAAGTCATATAAATAACATTTAAGAATAAATTTTAGCAGAGGGCAATGACCCAGTTTAACAGCTGATTTCGAAGAGGACGGTACGTGGATCATATACTCCGCTTGCTTTTAGACAACAATAGATACTCCCATCGATTAATTAACAATTATTTAATTATTCTAATACACTCTACTTACATTACAGGACAATTTAACTGGAAGTTAAACTGGAAGTTATTACTGCGCAGGAGCGATAAAATAATTACATTAAAATGCAAAAAAATGCTAAAATCAGAACGTTATAATATTAAATTTTATTTATTATCTTCATTGTTCCTATTGCAATGTATTAATACGGGTTATAATAAAAATATAGAGTGTCATTTAAAAAAACAAAGGTAGCCTTAAAAAATATAAAAAAAAATGTTTGTAAACTTTTTTTATTGCAATTTATAGTCAATCAAAAACAAATCAACTTTTGCATAAACTATTTTTTTGTCAGATTATGGCAAGTATTTCAAAAATTTTGATTACAGTTATATGGGACATCCTATATACATATACATTTTCTTCGATCAATTAACAATCATTAAAGTTGTGTCGGATGCTATAATGTATTCTACTAATATTTTTCCATTTTTCAAACTAAAATACAATTGTTTTAACATTCCTGTTCAGTGATTACTTCGAATTAAAAGGATATTGAACTAATAAAATATCAAATTGTTTAATATTACAAATATATTTCGTAAATATAGGTATCATATTTATAAATAAATTTACTTTATATTATTTAATAATAATACTTCAGTAGATATATAAATTGATTCTGATACACACACACACACATAACACACTAATATTAAAACCTCCTATAATCTCGTTTAACTGTCGATCGACTTAGGGTTCTATTTCACTTTCTCTCTCCCTCTCTTTTCATGTAGTTCGATAAAATTTAATCGTTACCGTCACCTAAGAAGTATTAAACTCGATTAAAAAATTCCAATACTACTTTAAGATCAAAGATAACGATTAATTAATGCCATGTCAATGAATATATACACATAAACGTTAAAAGCATAATAATAATCCTATGTTTTCTAGCTCAAAAAAAAAAAAAATAAATCTCTCACGCACCATCTATTTCGTGGCACGTCGAACGTAAAATAAAAACATTATGTTCCACGAATATTATAATATATGTAGAATTTGTTCGTTCGTTCGATCATGTAGTACACGACGAAAACAGCGTTTTAAGCTGTCGTTCAAATTCGTCATATCTAACGATTTATTAGTCGCGATAATATTTCACTTTGGTTCGGATCGATGGACACCATAAATATAAAGGATAACTCTATATTATCAACGAATCTAAAGGCTTTTGATTATTCGCAGCTAATCGATGTCCCTGAACACATGATTCTTTAACGTTACTTTCTCGAGCATGACTTTTCTTTCTGTTTCGTTCGTTCGTTTTCTCTCGAAGCTTATCGTGTGGGTGGGTGGGTGAATACGACGAACAGAAACGGTGCACAAGAATAAACAGCGTGCATGCAAAACGTCACTTTTATGGTCCGGAGCTTTTAGCCTTGCTTATAAAAACGTTCCACCCGTCCATTAGCAACAGCAATGACTACGACGACTACGAACGTCACTTTTCGTTCTGTCGACTGTAAAAAAATTTCAACCTCTACTATCTCTTTCTCTATCTTTGTCTCTGTCTCTGTCTCTGTCTCTATCTCTGTCTCTGTCTCTTTTCTCGTTCAAACAACATATTCCAAGACACAAAGCGAATAATAGATACCACGGTGTATATAATATTTACATATATTGGCTAGGATGTTCCGGCCATGCGTTGCTGTGGCTTTGTTATAAAATATTCATTTAAATATAATTCTAAACTATTTAGTAAAATATAACAACACACAAAATAATACCACAATTACAATGGAATACATAAAATAATGATATACGAAAAAATAGAAAAAAGTAAGGTTATGTCGTATGTAAATCTGAAAAAAAACGTATGACGTGAATATATCGAAATAATTGAATTGTGATACTACGTCATCTATTGAAAACCTACAGTACTTAGAAACTTATATAACCTCTAAATAAAACAAATCCTTAAATTAACAACAAAAAATAAAACTAATTGCGATAAGAACTATCCTATATACTAAGTTAACAACATACAAAATAATACCACAAAAAGGATAGAATGCATAAAGTAATAATACAGAAAAAAATATATAAAGCAAGGTTAAAGTTATGTCATATATAAATTTGAAAAAAATGTATGACGTGATTATATCGAAATAATTGAATTTTAATACAGAGCCATCTATTGAAAATTTACAATATTTAAAGATCTAGATAACCTTTAAATAATAAATTTTTAAATTAGCAATAAAATTAATAAAAATAATCGCGATAAAAACTATCCTATATATTAAGTTAAAATAAATCACACAAAATAAAAACAAATTTCATTAAAATCGGTTCCAGTAGTTTTGAATTTCATTGGAAACTAACAATGTGACACTGAATTTTTATATATAAAGATTAGAATCGTACCAATTTTTTTTTTACTTTTTTTACGAAAATGTTTACGTCTACCATAAAGTTTTGTTCGTTCAGACACATTGATGTTGAATTTTTTTCGTTATTAGGAATGAGACATTTTTAAAAAATGAAATTATATAAATTGCCAACATATTTGAAAAAGAAATCATATAAATTAATGATAATAATGTTATATTATTTAATAAATCTTATTTGAAGGTATGAACAATTTATTCTACAGCACCCAAAAGAAACTTAAAATAAGAAATGCCCAAAATGTCAATGGTAAACAGAAAAGAGATCAAGTAACTGATTCGTATTCGTATCGGTCATACGAAACTAACATACTTAACTACAACAAATACACTAGCAATAGAAATCAACAACAAATTAAAGAGAAAATTTACGAAATAATTTAAAATGAAATCAACAATATCCGAAACGTATTACTCTTTTTTATAAAGATATAAATTTACTGAATTTTTGTGTAAAACGAATAAAAAACAGCTATTGTTTAATCATCGAATAATCATATTGTTGATACCAATATGATTTTATTTATTAATCTTTTGAGTGCTATGGACGCATATATGCGTTTGGTAAAAATTACTAGAGTGGTCTATCGACGCATATATACGTGTTTGTTAATATTAATATAAAATAATTTAATATTTATATTAATTAATTAAACTATATTCAGAAACAAAAAACTTTAATTATTAAATATAATTTATTACTAGAATCTGATTAATAATAAACTATTCCGTTCCTACAAAACAGTTTAGGTGAAAGTATTCAGCACTCAAAGGGCTAAAAATGATCTTGTTAATGATGACTAATCAAAAAAAAACGTTTACTCAAAAAAAAAAAAAATTTATTATTTTATTCTAAAAACGGACAGAACTTTCCGGTAGACCTAATTATATCAAAGAATTGTGATCCTAGAAGAATTCAATTTTCTCTTTTTTTTTTTTTTACGATGCCTCAAGCGCGCTAACATTTTCTTCGCGAAACAAGGACTCCTCGACCTCGATAAACGTAAGAATAAAAAAAAAAAAGAAACGAAAGAGAGAGAGAGAGAGAGAGAAAGAGAGCATGCTACTACCTCTTCTATTGTTCTTCGTTTGGAAGAGAGATCCGAGGTGGTGCCAATATCGGGAGTCGTCGTTCTGGCTACCCGATATCGGGTCACCACTACCAAAGTCTACTACCAATACTACTAATTCATGGTGATAACTCAAACGCTAGCCAGCAGCAGCAGTGCGAGTGGCTATTATTAATTCGGATCCAATTTCTCCTGATTATCTTTTAACCCATTCGAGACCACGACTTTTTTCGAACACAGTTCTCAGGAGTCATTCTTTTTTTCATTATATTATTTATTTTTAATAAAAAAAATTTGTCTACTATGAAAATTACCCAATTCTTGTAAGTGAATTCGCATATTATAAGTTGATTGCACACCGTTTGTGCTGCTCGTTTCTCAGGAAATTTTTATTTGCGACGAGCGGCTAGAACACCATGTGTGCAGTGTGAGGTAAAATAAAAATACATTATTTAGAATTAATAAATATTTATTTTAACACTATTTATACCGAGAGATGTCAAAAGACACGTTTCATATTTTAACTTAACATTTTTCTCTAAGTTTAATCATTTCTCCACAATTAATTTTTTGACTTTTCATACAACAATTGTTAAAAATATCCAGTGATATCATTTTCCTCCAGCTCATCCTGGATCTAAAGATCGATACTTTTGATCGAAATAGATATCCACAAAATCGTGGTAGAAATAGTGTTAAAAATAGTTAGATAATATAAAATTGTTATTCTGCCTTCAATAATGAAAAACAAAATAATAATGAAAAGAACATTTTTAAGAAATAGTAAAAAGTCAACAAAATAAGTTGAATAATGAAGAAAATAATATAAATGAGAAATAAAATTTAAACAAATAGTCTAAAGTTAATAAAGTAATACAACTCAGTTATGGAAAAGAAAATATAATTTTTAAATAGATTTTTAAGAAATAGTACACCGATCGTAAAGTAAAATTGCATTAATATCTTGTAAAAATGTATATTTCGATAATTCTAATAAAATTTCTTCTTTTATTGTTTGGGATGCATGAAAACCAATGCCTGATTTTGTTTCTCTATACTTAGATAATATTCATTCCAAAAAAAAGTCTTATCTCGACGAATACTTTACTCAAAATAACTGATAAAAATTCATTATTATGATTGCAAACAGTGCATGCTACCGGGTCTTTTTGAAAAAGAAATTTTTGCACACACGTGAGAGGTTGTGAGAGGTCTTGGATGGGTTAAAATGAATCTTTTATCTTTTCGATTTAACCTCTTAGGCACGGCTGAATGTTGCGCAGGGCTGTTTCTCTGTACAGCAGGATTCGATGAGAATTACGTGTAAACGATAAAAACTACGATGTGTGACGAACAATTGCTATTTCCCAGGGAATACATTTTAATGAAGTTTTTCATAATTAACCCTTTGCAGTCCAGTGGTGACTTTCACTCACCATGTGGTTTGCTACGGTAAATGGATGCGCGGCAGTAACTGTTTACGTTTAGTTTTTTCGACGCTGGTCTCTACATTCTTTCTGTATAATCTTATTTTTATACATGTATAAAAATTGTATACATTAATTTGTGGGCGTAATGATTTTAAGTCACTGATAAAAAATGCGTCAAAAGGACTCCAAAACGTTTGGAGTTGCTAGTGCGCCGCATGAAAAAGGCCCAGAGTGCAAAGGGTTAAATTATAATTTTTCTCAAAGAAACAATACCCATATACTTTAACTTAGACAATTTATTTTAATAATTAATAATAAAATTAGATATAATATATTTTTAAAAATGTCATCCGCGATAGCCACTATAGTGGCGCGTCGTACTAGATGATAACATTCATGAAAGCCACTATAGTGGCGCATAGTGCCTAAAAGGTTAAAGATATAGGTAAGGGGATATAAGTTTAGGTATCGAAAAGAAAACGTTGCACTCTGTGCTGCGTAGTTCTACGAATCCCCTCGTCCTCCTCACCCCTCCCCCTTGTGCAACGTCGACGAACGACATTAAATCACGCAAAGTAGAGCTCACCGAGAACGCGTAGGAGGTATTCGCATTTTTCACGTAAACGTCAACGGCCGAAGAACCTTTTTCTACGACAAAGACTATAGCAGCAAGCTCACAGAGCTCACCATTAACCCTTTGAATGCTGAATACTTTTAACTGATGTGTTTTGTAGGGACACAGAATAATTTATTTTATTAGTACGACTGTTTCCGTTGATTGATATTATTAATCAGATTTAATAATAATAATAATTATTATATTATATTTAATCCTTATCGGTCGTAAGTCACGCGACAAGTGGCGTACAAATAAAAAATATTTTATTAACAATTAAATAATCATTAATTTCATATATACATATAGTACTCATTAAAAAAAAAATTAATAATTTCTAATTAATAAATTATTCTTATAATACTGAACAATTTTGTTGAATATTTATCGAAACCACTTTCAATTTACCATTAGTAAGAATCTGATGATTCTATATTGATATATAAAAACCTGACTACCCCAATAAAGACTACCAAAATCAAAGTTTTTCTTCCTTATATAATTTTGATGTGACAAAATTCAAAAGAATAATCAATAACTTTACATTAATATTAACAAACACGTATATGCATCGATTAGACGCATGTTGGTAACTTTTTCCAAACGCATATATGCGTCTATAGGTAGTCAAAAGTTTAATATCAAAGGATGATACGTCGAGTCACGAATTCTTCATCGTTCAGCCAGATTCCATGTTTTTTCTTCCCCCCCCCCTTTACTATCTTGGAAAAAAGTGCAAATCAAAATTAGCTCGTAAAAGTAATCAAAGAGTGTGTGTGTGTGTGAGAGAGAGAGAGAGAGAGAGAGAAAGAGAAATTAGAACGTAAGAAAAAAAAGGGCTTTTAAAGGGAAGGAAGATAATTTGTCTCGGCTTGTTTGCGGGATTTGTAATGACCTAGAATAGATGGGAAAATATGAAAGAAAGAAAGAAAGAAAGAGAGAGAGAGAGAGAGAGAGAGAGAGAGAAAGAGAGTGAGTTTGCTTTTACATACGATGGCAGCTTCTACAAAGTGTCCCTGTCGTTTGCGCGAGAATAAATTACGAGACGTCGCCGGAGTAAAAAAGTTTTGATCTTCCCTCGGTGGGTAACCGAGTGTCTCTTTAAGCCCCTCGGTCGTTCGCGTTCTTACGGGGGTAAAGGAGGGGGAAGGAAAGAAGAAGAAAAAAAAGAAAAAAAAATTAGAGGATGATGTCTCTGTCTCTCACTCACTCATTTTTTTTCTCTATTTCTCCTAAAACTCACGATTGAAATTTGACCAATCGCAAAAGTAGTTGTTTATATATAATATATTATAACCTTTCGCGAATTATACAGGGTGCGTGTAGCATTGGTATTTAAAAAAACAAAGTTGACCTATAAATCTCGAATCAACTAAGCAAATACAAATTAACGTCATATTATAAGTCCTGAATTTTTCATGCAACTTTTTCTTAATAAGCATCTCTGCTACTTCATCATACATTCAGTGCTATTTAGGTAGCAAAAGTTAATGAATCACTCTGTATATTTTTATGGGGAAAAAGAAAAATAACGAATGTGATAAAAACGATCATATTCGTCGATTGGTTAAAGTTAACCCTTTTGCGCTCCTATGTCGAGTGTGATCTGACATCGGTTTTCATCTCAAAAGATATCATAACTAAATTACAAAATATAATAATAATAAAAATACAAAACGGGATATTTAATCAAATTTATTTCTTTCCTTTCTAAATATATTAAAAAAAAAAAATTGCCATATTTTTTTTCGTTAAAGTAAATTTCAAATGAAATATTTAAAAGCACTGAAAGATGCTGGAAACAAAATTAATTAAATTAAAATAAATAATAATAAAATAAAAATAATCCTTATGCGCTCCTATGTCGAGTGTGATTCGACATCGGTTTTCATCTCAAAAGATATCATAACTAAATTACAAAATATAATAATAATAAAAWTACAAAACGGGATATTTAATCAAATTTATTTCTTTCCTTTCTAAATATATTTAAAAAAAAATTGCCTTATTTTTTTTTAGTTAAAGTAAATTTCAAATAAAATAATTAAAAGCATTGAAAGCTGCTGGAAACAAAATAAAATTATAATTCAAAGGGTTAATACAAAATTAAAACAAACAAAATATATCGCGTGGCAACGACATTTTTATTCGATTCCTTAAAATTTACGTGCAATTTTCTATTGCAGTAATTTGCATCGAGTGCTTAAAGTTGTAAACAAAATGCTGATCCCGAGCACGCCCTTTTCTCATCCCTTTTGCCGAACAGGGGGAGAGGAGAATTACCAGAGGCATTATTGTCCTTCCTTCCTTCCTTCTTGCATCTATCGCGTATGTTTTCACACACGTGACCCTATTTAAAGGGATAAAACGATTTACTAACGTTAACAAGCAAGCAAGAGCAAGCAAAATTTCTTTACACGTTTCTTCTTCAAATAAATAACAGATGAAAATAGAATGAAACGTTTGATAGGTTTTGAATTTTTTCTATCATTTCAAAGATTCAATTTACAAATAGGTAGGAGGAGAGGAAAATCATTTGAGATAAAACTTTAAAGGACAACGATCGCACAAATCAAGAATGAAGACATTTTAACCGTGCTAATTGTCTTCCCATGAAAACGAAGAATACCAGAGAGAGAAAGAGTGAGAGAAAGAGAAGATTTGTGGATGCGAATTGATGCAAATAGAAAATGAGAGAGAGAGAGAGAAAGCAAGAGAGAGAGAGGGATAGTCGACTCGAGTGCAGATTAAATTTATCGATCGACCGTGGAACGTGAAACGAGAGGAGGAGGTGCCGGGAAAAGGTGACTCTAGGACGCAGACGTATTCTTCCCACTTTTTCTCTAATACTCTGAACTCTTCCAATCGGCGCGCGGTTAATAACCTTTTCGTGGTAGCGTTAAATCGTACGAAATAAATTTCGTCGATCGGTGTGTATATGTGTTTGTGGTGAGTTTCTTCTTCTTCTTTTTCTTCTTCTTCTTCTACTTTTCTCCTACGTTACAAATGTACGTTCAACTTTATTCGATAAATATGACACACTTTTGACGAGTTGAATAAAAAAAAAGAATAAACTTTCCTGATTATCAAATGATGAGATTAAGTGAATTCAACACACTTGACGAGTTGATTAAAAAAAAAATAAACTTTCCTGATTATTAAAACGGATAAGAGATGATTAAGTATATATATTACACTACACACTTGTCTCGTTCGCATTTTCAATATATCCTAACGAAGTTATTATTATACGAAAATAACGTTACAACATGTACACATTGAATTTCGCATTCACGGTTCCATTTGACGATTTTATTTTCTTGATTACATCTTATCTATTTTTTTTCTTTTTCCATCTCACTAACTCTACTTACATTTTATTTAATCCTCGTTTTATTCGGTTATCTTCGGGGAGTTTTCTCTCTTTCTATACCTCAATCCATCATCGGTACTTTAATGCATTCGTATGCAAATCGTAGGTTGCATCGGTTCGTTTTTCCATTGACGAAGTTACCAGCAGAGAGAAGAAGAAGAAGAAGAAGAAAAAGAAGAAGAAGTAGAAGAAGAAGAAAATCGTTCTTAGCTATATCGGACAAGTTGTGACTTCGTTAAATGAATTTTGTGTCCCCGTTTTTCCTTTCGTTTTTTTTCGCGAACGAACGAGGAAACTCATAGATTCTAATCAAACCTCACGAACGAATCCTTTTGGAATAATTATGGTCCCCAGGTAATTCTCAATTTTAATACGTTAAACGGGTATTCTCGTTACCATTGATCATTCTTAAGTTATAATATACGAACGATGATTATATTACACTGCGATTTATAGTTCAATTGTATATGTACATAGATAATTCACGTATAGGATGTTAAAAATAAAACCGATAAAAATCAAATCGAATGGCCAATGACACCCAAAAAAAGAAACAACAACAACAAAAATCAAGGTCTTTCTTTCTGTTCTTTTTTTATTATCACCCAAAAAACGTATATATACGTTAGATAAGGTAAATTGGCTTGTCTATTATGCGAATAGAGATATAACCTAGCAACTTGCTGGAATTCATAAAGAAGAACACGTAGACAAGAACTCTCGGTTGACATTAATTGCAAATCACGGTGCGTAAGTAGTAGTAGTCACATATATACGGCCTCGAGCAAGAAAACCGCGCTTTCAACGTAAACAAAACATCATCGAGAAAGAAACAATGAAATTCTGAAGAACAAAGGACAGAGATCCGATCCGATGTGATGATCTTTGGTTTGACTATTATTTTCATATTTTTCTTGAAGTATTTTTAATATACGTTGACTAAAAGTAGGTAGTATATTCTTCTTGTGGATGTTTAATCGAAAAAAACACCCTCCTAGAAAGAACTAGTAGGATGCTCCGGAAACTTGAAAAACTCTTTTCCTTCTTTCCTCGTTTCTTGCTTACTTTCCTCTTAACTTTTTTCCTCCTTCCCCTTCTTCTACTTCTTTCTCGCTTTAAAAACCTGTCCACTCGTTTTCCTTCGTCCATAAGCGTTCTTACGCATTCGATAGACCGTACCAAATTCGATGAAACTTTCAACCGACGACCCACCTTCCTCTCTCTTTCTCTCTCTTTCTTTTTATCGTCTGTTGCAAGCTCGACAAATCGAATCTTTCATGGAAATATCCTTTTCATAGGATTCATATAGTCCAAAAACTTTCATACTCAATATTTTTTGTTCCAAATCTTAAGATAATCGTAATGTATTTTATACGCAACATATTTTAATAACAATTATAATAATTTATCCATTGATAATGTTCATCTTCATAACGACGCACATCATATTTCTCGATATTATTCGAAATTCAACTCGCATATATGTTTTCTATTTTTCCTCCGACGAACTTAACGATGTGAGATTTTAACATAACTTCGTTGTTTCCAATGTTAAACCATAAATGTAGAATATAATCATAAATAAAATGTATCATTCTTTTTCACTAAACTTGTCTTCATCTTCATCTTCTTATTTTCCTTCTTCTTCTTCTTTCTTGATAAAGCATTTTCCAAGAGACCACTAAACAAATCCTCTAATGTCGAACGCGAATTACGATAAACGATTTATTTCTCTCTTTTTCTCAAACATATACATATATACATACATGTATATTGTAATATAATATAATAATATAATATAATAATAATTTATATATATAAAAGAAAGAACGGTAATCCTAAAATGTTGAAATGAAATGAAATGAAAAGAAAAGAAAAAAAGAAGGTTAAGAAAAAGAGAGAAAATTAGTGCCTTTTTAAAGGTTTTCGCGTTATAAATCTCGCCGGTTCTGTTTCTGCCCGTTTGCGATCGGAACAGACAACGGCATAGAACCCGTTGCTGAATCGCGGCCAACTGAGAGGGAGAGAACAACCCCCTAGATACTAGCGTCGGTTGGCTGGTGGCATCGCGCACGAAAACCCCCTGCGCAAAGCTCTGTCCCCATCCTCTTTCTACGAATTTCTCTCTCTCTCTCACACTAATTCGCAACTCCTGTTCTCTCTCTCTTTCTCTCTCTCTCTCTCTCTCTCTCTCTCTCTCTCTCTCTCTCTCTCTCTCAAGTTGTCCCCAGGAACCAGACGAAGAGAGAAATATATTAGATGGATCGTTTGGAGAGCCCTCGCGCGCGTGCCTCTAACCCTTGCTTCCTTCGAACCCTATTCCTCCTTCTTCTTAGTAGGGATGTACACACACGCGCACACCTAGCAAGCAAGCAAACAAGCACATTGCACACCTGCCGTGTGCGTGTTCACCCATCCTTCTCTCTCTCTCTCTCTTTCTCTCTTTCAGTTGTCACCGAAATAAGAGGAGGGGGACAACAAGTTTTACGCGAATCGTGAACCCCCTTCTTTTCCCCACCTCCACCACTACCACCACTACCAACCAACCAACGGTTCTATCCTTAACGTAGGTTAGTTGCTCAAGGATTTATATTTTACGAGCTATCTTTTTGGTTTGTAAAATGGTAATATATAGGAATCCCCTTTATTTAATTTTGTTTTGTATCATAGTTAAAAAGAAGGAATTCACTCGAATTATTTTTTTTGTTCAGGTTTCCTCGATAGGATTTAATTCATCGCTAGTTATCTCCTCCCCCCCCCTTCCGCCCGCAGAAGAACGATTCCAATTGTTCGATAATTACCAGGAGGATGGTCGTTCGTGGAGTGGGATTAAGCGAGAAATACGTCTGGTTTGTGCGGTTAACCTTTTTTTTTTTTGACAGAGATCAAATTTTATTCCGATAAAAACCGGTTAGGGGGGGAAACGAGAGAGGGATACTGATTGTTAGCTACTCTAGCACGCGCCCTCCTATTTTGATATTTCTTTTTTTTTCTTCTTCTCCCTCGGCTAACTTCAATCGTAACTTGAATGGGGAAATAAATTGCTCAACAATAAGAACTACCCCCCCCCCTCAACTAAGTCTGATGTTGGGTGTCTCCCGTCGGATCCCTTCTTCCTTTCGTGAAGTTTTCAAATAGATCAGGGACTCATCCGACAACGTACAATAGGAATTTCAGGATTGACTAAGTTAGCCTCACTTGGCCGAAATCATGTGGTCGACTAGGGGTATAAGAAACATGATGGAAGAGGGTAACTACTATGGGTATCTTCTTTTTTCTGTTCTTTTTTTTTTCTTTTCCTATCCTTCCTTCTTCTTTCCTAGATGATCACATCCCCGTTTTTAAATGAAACGTATCGAAAATAATTCATTTCGTACTCATTCTTCATTCGTCATATTCTTTTTCTCAATCGATCGATATACCTGCCTGCTACCGATGTGTATGGGTATGTAGATATATCAAATTTCAATTTGTCACGATTATGGAGAACCGTTTGGCACGTTCTGTCTATAAAAGAAGAAAAGGTCGATTACTCCGGGATATCCTCGAATAAACGAGGATCCGGTGTATTTCTCTTAGTACCCCATAATAATTTGTCGAGAAGTCATCGTCATTCTAAGAATCAAATCTAACCCTATATACGTCGTATATCTTCTTTACATATAAAAATTCAGTGTCACATTGTTGGTTTTTTATGGACTCCGAAACTACTCAACCGATTTTAATAAATTTCTTTTATTTTGTGTGATTTTTTTCCATTTTAGAATATAGGATAGTTATTATCGGGATTATTTTTATCTTTTATTGCTAATTTAAGGAGTTATTATTTAAAGGTTATCTAGATCTCTAGGTACTGTAAATTTTCAATAGATGGCGCTGTATCACAATTAAATTATTTCAATATATTCATGTTATACGTTTTTTTTTCAGATTTACATACGACATAACCTTACTTTGTCTATTTTTTCGTATATGATTATTGTATGCATTCTATTGTAATTATGGTATTATTTTGTGTGTTGGTATAATTTACTACAAAACTAGGTACCTCTGGCCACGCGTTACTGTAACTTTGTTTTATAATACTTTAATTTAATATAATACTTAACTATTCACTGCAGTCAAATTAACATTCACTTACAATTTTCGATAGTTGAAATAAGGCACAAAACAAGATAAAAAATTTTTTTTCATTTTATTTATTTCCTATTTGAGTATAGCTTATTTGAGTATTGTATATTACATGAATCATTGACGAATTTGTAAATTAAATATATATGAAGATTTAATTTTATACAAGAAGTAAACAACGTTGATTTTTCTTAGTATATATATATATATATATATATATATATATATATATATACTTAAAGAATATAAAGAATATCTTTTGAGTTTATAAAGTTCCGAGACGAAGATAACCCTTCGTGGCCTGGTAACAGCTGGTACTTTTAATAAAGCGATCGCAAATCTCGTCGAATAGGAAAACGATCGAATCGCATCTTCGGGGAACTCTCTTTTCCAACCATTGAACGGCCAATTAATTATCGATTTCCAACTTTCGGAACCTTCCTTAACTTTAATAGGGAATTTACTTTTATTGAATGTAACGTTAAAAACAAGAAAGAGACAAAGGAACAAACGACGATATGAAAATAATAAAAAATACAAATACATTAAATGTTCTCCATTGTCAATTAGTTCTACTAATTCTTAAATATGTTAGTTTAATTCTGGTCTCCATATATTCAATCTCAATTATGATATTAAAAAATTTCAACATAAATTTCTAAGAATTGCTGCAACATATAGTAACCAATCTATATCTTTCAATTGTCATAATTATGATAATATTTTCAGTTATATGAATATGGCTACGTTGAATTAGAGGATGATGATATATGACACACTGTTTGTATGGAAATTTTTTATAGGTTTTATCAATTGTTCAGATATCATACGCTTTTTCTCTTTCAATATTCCATCAAAAAATCTTCGAGACCATGATTAGCTATATATTGAAATTCATCCCACTTCCGATGGTTACTTTAACTGTACTAATTAAGAATGTCTTAAAATGTAAATTATTTTCATCGGCATATAGATTTATCAACTATCAAACATTGTCAAAATTTTTCCCTAACTATCTTTAGTTTTTACCCCTAACCATTTTTATAAATTTTATATTAATAAGTTTATTCCGTAAAATAAAATAAAATAAAATAAAATAGAATAAATGAAAAAATTAAAAAGTTAAAATAATCGTTACACCTTGGGCGTGCGTTCGTCGTAATTCGGTTTCTCTAGGGACAAAAAGAGGAATAAAAAAAAAAAAGAGGTCGAATCAACATCGTCTGTAGAACAATGCCACGTTAAGAAGCCCCGTGACAAAAAAAGGTCTTTGAATCTTTTAAGTATGCCTCTTGATTTCTCTGACAGATGAGATTCGAAGACTTACAACGTAATAATAGTAGTAGTAGTAGTAACGAAAAGATTAAATAAACACGACAACCTGTCCTGTAATGTTATATCATTTATATTCAACGAGTAAATTATACAATTATACAGAATTAAATTCCGTCCACGATCATTCGAGTATTTCTACGAACTATGAAAGCGAAATGAAAATGGAAAGGGGAGGCCCTTAGGTTCGTAAGATCGGAATAGGCGGTTGTCGCGCGTCACGATTGTTCCTCGGTTGTCGGAAATCGAACGAATACAAGGGATGACACTTTGATCGATCGGCCGTCATCATCGGAAACTCAAGTTATTACCGGCTGTACCTCGATAGAAACGTCAGTTAGGTGAACAAGAAAGGAAAGAAGGAAGGGTAAATATACTTTTTTGAAAAAGTAAAAAAAAATCTAGATCTTTTTACTTGTTATTTTCTTCTTTTCTTTTTTCGATTTGGTCATGTCTATTATTCAAGATTTTACGAGTTAGATTATAACTCGTAAAAATAGATTACAAGTAGGAGACAAATCGAAAATCTGTTTAATTTAATTTAACCCAGTGACTGCCAGTTACGAGATATCTCATAGTGTGTAATGCAATTTTAGATTAATTACAAATGGTTTTTTGAGTTAAGAATTATTAAAAATGTTAAACAAAAAATTTATATGGTATAAAAAATCATATTAATAGTCAACTATTGTAAATGCCATTACAATATTATATCAGTAACTTAATTTTATTATATTTTGTAAGATTTCATGTATGTTTTAATTTAAAACCTTAGCACCCAGGGTAAGAGGCTTTAAATATGTCTGGCGGTCAATGGGTTAATCGATTCACACGTCGAGAATGGAAAATTAGGCTTGAGATCTAAGGGTGAGTAAATTACGCTAACGCTTCATTAATAACATTTCTCTGATCGGTAGTATTATACCCACAAGTTGTATCTACCCGCCGGTGTGATTCGACCGTAGACAGAAAACAAAATTGCGTTGGACCTCGGGGTTGGATACAAAAACAGGTGCAATCTCGACGCGTCGGGGTTGATGTGAATCGTAATTAATGGGCTGAAGCGTGGACGCGCGACGTGCGACGTGCAACGTACAACGACAGCCGACGGTGTCACGATAAAAGGCCCCTACGAATATTGCCTCTATCGAGCGTCGTCTCCCTTTCGCAATAAACGAAACGAAAAATAGGAATCCCAAAAAAAAAATACAACAACCCTACACATCGATCTTTTCTTTCGTATTGAAACAGGAGGACAATGCGCTTATTTGTCAATAACAATCACAGATTTTTATCGTTTGTAAATTATAAGGAAAAAGAAATAAAAAATATTCAAGAACATATTTCATGAAAACGGTACACTTGGTCTAGAAATAACATCTTCTCATAAACAGCATAGGTAGAGAACGTGTTAAAAGGTTGACCAGGTCAGGTCCGTCTTTCTAACCCTTAAAGCTCGAAGAAAGTGAGACAAGCGCGAGAGATTCTGGGTGCTTTCGCATCGTTTGCGGCGGCCTCCGCACGAGAGCGCATCCGTGTAACACAGAACGCGCATACGTGCGATGCAGACAATGCGGTATGCGGCATGCGGCGCGTCACAGGGCCGTATGATCGCTGGTGTAAACTGCTACTGCTGCTACTGCTGCTGTGTCTACGGCATCAGATCATCACGGCCCGGGAAACCCAGTCTTTACGTTCAACCTTCTGCTACCCCAACGCACTCCCAACTGGGAAGAGATGATGGAAAAGAAGGGTGAAGAGAGAGGGTACACTAATCAGCCTCTTCGTTAATCTCGATTCATCCGCGGGGAAAGAGCTTATGTAGCCTCATTGTTTTCCCTCGAGCAAACACGCTCATATACGGGTCAAAGCGAACGAATTGCGTGCGGAAATAGGTGTACTACTTATCTCTTCTTACCAAAAAGCCATTATATATCACCTATTATACTTTCCCAAAAAAATGTCGAGCTAAATTTTGCTATTAAAAATTTTTGAAAATAATCATTTAATACGTTGACTGTGCCGCACGCCCATTTCACGTGATTTTTGCCCATGGCGCCAACGTGAATTTTTTGTATTTTATGCGATTCGACAAGGTGACTTGTATAATGGTGTTTAATGCATTTTCCATGGACTGGTCTCCGGTGGAATCTCACGACAGTCAACGTATTAAAAATAATAATATAGTTCTCTTGACTATTTTCAATTATTTTTCCATAACGCGTCGTGACATTTTATAAAAATTTTACCGACCGATAATCTCGTTATATACAAAAACCATGCTTTACACGTACTGTGTTATACTTTTTTTATCAAACGAACGAACGAACGAACAAGATGCAATCGGTGAGTTTACATCGAGAAATCCAATTTTCACGATTTATCAGGAATAGCAATTTGTTTGGATTTATTTGCTGCTACTGAAACTAGGCGTTCCCAGTACAACACATTCTTCGTACACACCGCCACTATATATTAATTTATTATTATGAAAAGTTCATTATTAAAGTTGTCAATGAACGATAAATAACTTTACCGAGAGGATCGAAAATGAGTGCGTGAGAGCACGCGATGCCGAGCCAGCCCGCAATTAAGGAATTTTGTCGTTCGACGTGGTCGCGAGGGGACAGCCGGTTATAACAGGAACGCGTAAATAATTCATGGTGCATCGGTCAGACCGGAAACTGTATAAGCCCGCTATTATGTGGACGATGTACGGAATAACAGAGGTAGAGAGAGAGAGAGAGAAAGAGAGAGAGAAAGAGGTGAAATACTCAACGAATTATGAATATTCAGCGAACTTCGCACGTCATATATTTCGAGGAATCATGCGTTAAACCTTCCCCAATAGTAGCCACCAACATCGTCCCGATTTAATCAAGTATATGATATTAATTATTTCTATCATATATCCGAACTAACTCAATATCTGTCAAAATGTTCGATTATTCGAACTACTACTCCGTCCTCATTAACAATATTTCAACCGTTCGTGCATACACGGTTTTACGTATTTCATTTTCCCCATGCTTTTTCAATACTTTTGAAAATCTTGTTTTTCAAAACCCATTTTCAATCGAGAATAAACGATCTCACTCTCGGTAGTTTTCTCTCGTATGGATTCGCGTACGCTTGTCGTCGAGGACGTACGAACAGGATGTGCAACTTCCTACGGACAAGTTCAAAGTTCAAGTTAGATTCGAGTTTATTGTAAGTTCTCTATATATATGTATACACGCCCGAACTAGCTGAGTACCGATAGGAGCAATGTGGTAGGATACACGTTTAAACGAACTACGAAACATCGTGTAACTTTGACTGCATTTCAATATGCGTTTCCGCGTTCAATCTTCCACGTTGTTGTTTACCATAAAGAAGAATGTATTTGATATTTACAATGTTTCTCGGCCTGTTTCCATATCTCTTCATCCTCTAACTATTTAACAAAGTCTCATCGATTTAGACTTTATATTAGTACCTTTTGTAACAAAAAAATAAACAAAAAATTTAATATTTATTCTTTATGTTTACAGGTGTTCAAAGAACCGTTCATGTGCTACACAACTCGGAACAACCAGCCTCTGTTTTCGCACTTCTCGAATCCGGTAATAAGATAGTACCATTGATAGCAGATAGTCTCTTCGATCTTCTCATGATGAAAATGACGAGCATCTATACAAGCAAAAAACAAACCAAAATCGAATCGAAAGGCCCGCGTTTCGAGATTGGAGATTTTTGCGTTAAACTCGGTAGCGTCACCATGAGCCAAAACTTCAAAGGCATCCTCGTCGAAGTAAGTTTTAATAAACATCCTCATTTCTTCGTAAAAATAATTTCTTTGAAACTATCTTACGTGAGATTATTCCCAGCTGATTCCCGTTCTAATCGACCTGCTTCTTCTCTTTTAGATACAGCGAGTCTTTAAACTTTCCCCCAAAGGAATTTTCTCAACTTTACTCAACTTTCGACAAATCGGTCAGATTAAATTATTAATTTGACAAGCGTTGTACTTCGAAAGAACGAGAGAAAAAAATGAAACCTTAAAGAAACAAAGTGAGATCATTTAAAAAGTAAAAAAAATCTCGATTTTAATATATCTATCATTAAATTGTAAATGAGAGAAAGATTTTTCAAAAGTCGCGAATTTCCAACTTCCGGGGTCCTTGGCAATCACGTGACTATTCTGTATTATCGATTGACAGTATCTCGCTCTCGTGGGGCTGGGAGGGGGGAGGTAGGAGTGAGAAAGGGGAGAAACGATACGAATAGAGAGAGAGAGAGAGCTTGCGATGCACACGAATTACACGCGCAGATTGTACTCTTGTATATACGTATAACCATTCAAAACCCCCTACCCTCCGTTCTCCCCAGTAGTTCCCATCCTGAAACAGCACGAAATCTAAGCCTTACGACCATTTCTATTGGAGATAATTACGATCGCCATTCCGTCATTTAATTACAATAGTAGTATTATTCGAGCGTGTTAGTAGTATTCATCGATTGCGTTACGCGTAAACGTAAAGCTGATTTCGTATAAAATATATATGTGCTTCTCTAAATAGGATACGTCATCGGGTCGTTCGAAAATCATTAATCCCAACAATTTTCCGCGTATTTCTTCCACTCCCCCCCCCCCTCCCGTTGCATCAGAATTTGGGATTTTCCTCGTTCGTATATACAATTGAAACTGTATTTACGATGACATGTTTTCATCACTTTTACAAATTTCTTGTACTTTTATTCGTACAAAATTATAAACTTATACTTTACATAAAGACGTACATATATATAAAAAAAAAAAAGATATTCGTATCGGTAATTCTCTGCGCCGTTTGTATCATTCCCATGACGTCGAATTCGTTACGATAAACCACCACCATTCTCTTCCATTAATTTCAATTGAAGAAAAAGTCCTTTGGTATCCATCCCTTTACTCTGGCCCTGGACTTTTGCAGGCTTTCACTTCCTCTCCTCCCGAACTCTCTTTCTTCAGCTCTCTTTTCTCAAGGGACAAAGAAAGAAAGAAAAAGAGAAAAAAAGAGAAAAACGTATATATTTTTCATTTGCTATTTCCAACGAGGAACGAACGAGGAACGAACGAGCTTACTTCCCTTTTTTTCTTTATTTTCAATGCACCCGCGAAACAGTGCTCGGGGAACGAGTTATCGAAGCGAGCTATCGTTCCAACAACAGAGAGAGAAAGAGAAAAAAAGAGATAGAACCTACACCACTCTCTTCTCTTTAGAATAAGCGACCCGATGTGCCATTTAATCGTTAACGTTCTCCATCAACTCATTAGCTGGTATTTCGAGTGTGCTGCCCTACTTGAAGTACATCTCCGAGGGTTGCGGACTTCATTTTTCCTATATATACACACACACACACACCTTTCGACGATGCAAACAAAATTGTCATCTTTATGGATTTTCTTTTTTCCTCCTTTGTAGAATTATTTCAATCCTAAATAATTTCTCTATTTTTTTACGAAGTAAAGATCTAATCCAATTAGACTAAACAATTTCTTCCCCCTTTCCAACCCCCGGGGGTTTTACCGTTGAATAATTTTTTCATTCGATCAACTTTAACAATGTTCTCTCTCATTTTTAAATTATGACCGGTGGTCTTTCCAATTTATCGCAATACGACGTGACTCAATCAATTTAATAGTTTCAATTAGATTTATACGAACACTTTATTCACATAGCTGGGTCTTCCCAAGTTTTCAATTACGTGTCGTGGATCGTCGATATACATATATATACCATATTTCGTATATGTAATAAAAATTTGTCCTTGCTTCAATCGTAGGTCGAGTATAGACCCTGTGTCATTCCGGGAAGTGCATGGGAACTTATACGAGAGTTTCTTCAAGGATTTCTTGGCTCCGCTGTATCAAATCAAGCTCCTCAATATTTGCAGGTATATTTCACAACTGTTCTACTTTTCTTTATAATCATTGAAATTAAAACGTATCAATTTTATTATATCCTTTTTTGATTAATCAAATAATATACCCAAAAAATGTATAATTTTCCTTTTTCTTACAGAATCGAATGAACGATATTTATCAACCGATGGATACAATACAACAATACTTGGAACATTTTGGACAATACAGAAAAGCAACCGGAGTAATTTAAGTATTTTTTTTACTCAAGATCGATAAACAATTAAAAGATATTATGATTTTAGAATTCTATTTATCAAGATTTGTATTTCAAAGATAATTAATTCTTATTATTTTTCCAATATTAATGTATTGAAAATAGATGAATATAATATATAGTAATATTGAATAATTTATAAATATGATTGAAAAAAGAATGCTTTTGTGCGTTCTACTAAAATTTTGGGCGCATTTAAAAACATGCCCGTTAATCATAAAAAATGTATATATATAAATCCTACGTAGAAATTAAATATATACTCAAGTATGTATACTCAATCGATAATCTTTTAATTCCTACGTTATAAACGGTCAGTAAAGTCGAGAGTAACATACTTACCTACAGTCGATAATTCTAGAAATGATCTAATCAATATCATTAACTATTTTAACCATAGATTTTAACCCATTACCCGCCAATGGCCTTTTTGAGACGCATTTTCTCTCTCAAATTTTTTTTTTATTAATAACTGCAACTTCAGAATGAAATATATTCGTTAAAATCATGATATCGTACCTCGCGCTTCATGAAAATATTAAAAATTCTCACTATTTTATTTTAAATCAATATTTAATGATATAAAATACTTTTTATATTTAAATAAAAACAAAATGTTGCAAAAATAGTTCTATTTGGTTAATGTTAATATCATTATACAGTTAATTTAATTTTTTTGTTTTTTGCATTATCGTATTGTAGCGGGTAATGGGTTAAATATCTAAAAAAAAAACGTACAGATTGCATATTTCGATTATCAAATTTTAGAATTTCGATAACTCTGCATGCATGAAATTACCAATGAATTAAAAATAAATCGATTGACAAAACCAATAAAAAAAATATTCAAGTCATCGTTGTATTCGTTTGGTAAATCTGATGGGTAAAGTAGAAATGAAAATTTATTGACTTATATAAACTACGCTATCTCCATTTTACAAAAACAAAAATACATTTATAATCAAATTTCTTTCTTAAAAAAGTACGTGTTATTAAAGTTTACAATAAAAAATCTAATATTGATTAAAAATTAAAAAATCTCTGATAAAAAGAAAAAAAACAATATTTGCCCTTAAGTATATAGTTACATATACTACCATTGATTAGCATAATTTCAACGTCTTTCTAAACCCATAATAAGAATGAGATTATAATAAAAATCTTTGTAAAACCATAGAAAAATATAAGAACCTTTAATTTCGATTACAAATCTTATCTAATTTCAAAACATTTACATCATAGATAATGACTGCATAAACCTATAAATTAAATAAAATTTAATTAGTTATTAGATTTTGTAATAAAATATTATTTAATTAATTTAGTGTTTAGACGGAAAATGAAATTACCTGTATTCTTACACCTCTATGTCGTTTAAAATCAAAATAAGATGTGACGTATGAGTTACCTTTCTCCTCTCGATAACCTTATTAGGTAATTCTCAACTGTTTCTCTATGTTTAAAAAATTTTTCTATGTTTAATTTTACTTTATAAATAACGAATTTCCTGGAATGTGCCGAGTTATATAAACATTGCCAATGTTTGTCTCGTTCGACTTTGACCTTTACCTCCTCGTATCTTTCTTTTTCTTCATATACATTCAATCGTGTGGATCATTACTGTATGTAAAAACAAAAAAAATAAATATGCATGTTATAAAATTAACTATTAGAAATAAGAAACATAAAATGAATACATTAAAAGCTTCCTTTTTTACTGATATATGTTTTGTATTTCTAAAGATAGACTTTGATTATTTCTTAATATTAAGATGATTAAAAAGTATATATAAATGTATATGTTTATATTGGTTGTGCAGTTAAAATAATCGTGAAAATAAAATTATTCAATGTAATAATTTTTATAAGCGTTTTTAATTTATTCCTGATAATCGAATAAATTATATTTTATTAACATTAAGTAATACTATATAGCATACTTACTTATACATATTTAAAGCATGCGTGATTCGCAAATAATAATGGTAAGTAGCGCCACGAGTATCACCGAGTGGTACGTGCGGTTGTCAATATAACAGTATCATTTCCGCGGAGAAGGTACAGTTAATAGAACCTGTAGTTTTGCCGAATCACGAAAATGGAGGTATTACAAATTTTCGTTTATTTTCCAAAATATCAACGCGAACATTAATATTATTTAACATTAATAAATTCTTCTTTTTCAGCTTGAAATTCTAACCGCAAAATCATCAAAATCTATTGCCACTATAACCGTAAGTAAATATACCGGATCTATCGTGTATATTCATTTTATTAAGAAAAATAATAATAATTAAGTGAGAATAATACATGCTATATTACGTTTAAAGGTAAATCCAAACACTACTATTGGTGCTATTAAACAACAATTATATGAACTGAAAAAAGCACCATATGTACAAAGACAAAGTTTAAGACTAGATGCTAAAGGAAAAGCTCTAGCAGATTCGGAAACTGTTAAATCATTATCTTTGCGAGTTGGCGATAAATTATATTATAAAGATTTAGGACCACAGATTAGTTGGAAAACTGTATTCTTAGTAGAATATGCAGGACCACTAGTAATATACCTTTGGTTGTATCAGCGTCCTTGGTTATTCTATGGTGATGTTGTCAGTACAAAAGTAGATTGCACAGTTAAGTAAGTATTACATGCTCTAAATAAATATTTACATTTTTTAACTTACATCCATATTATAGAATAATATTGTAATATATTTACAAATATTATTAAACAATATTTTATTTTAGCTGCGCTGCTATCTGTTGGACGATACACTATGCTAAACGTCTACTAGAAACATTATTTGTGCATAGGTTTAGTCATGCTACTATGCCTTTACGCAACCTCTTCAAAAATTGCTCATATTATTGGTTATTTGCAATGTATGTAGCGTATCATATCAACCATCCATTGTATACACCACCGAGTAAACTATATTTTTATGCGGGATTAGCCACATTTGCTTTATGCGAGTTGGGGAATCTTTTCATTCACCTAGCGTTAAGAGATCTCAGACCACCAGGTAGTACGGTTCGGAAGATTCCTGTGGCTACTGGAAATCTATGGACTCTGCTGTTTAATTTTGTCTCTTGCCCGAACTACACATATGAAATTGGCAGTTGGATTGGCTTTACCATTATGACTTCGTGTCTTCCAGGTATATTTACTAAAATAGTATTATAGATATATGTTAAATTTAATAAATTAATATATTTTCATATTAATTAATATATATATTTCAATATAGCTGGACTGTTTACCTTGGCCGGTGCTTACCAAATGACTATGTGGGCATTAGGAAAACATAGAGCATATAAAAAAGAGTTCTCTCAATATCCCAAAGCCCGCAAAGCTATTTTCCCTTTTATACTTTAGTCAATTTAAAAGGTAATCTTCATTCCAAATACTTCTGATAGGGTACTTTTACTAAATTTGTTAATAATTTAAATGTTAATGTATAAATATATTTCTTTTATTGTTGTATCTCATTTGTTAAATATATACTTCTTGCTATATATTAATTTACGTATAACAAAAGATATCTAAGCATTTTATACCTAGAAAATATTAACTAAGTCAACTAAAAATATATTTGTGTCTAGATGTCACTATATACTGTTTTGCGAAAAAAATCTAATAATATCATATAATAATATTTATAATGATATTCATAATAATGCATTCAAAAATGTTCATATTAATATGATTTAAATACTACTTACTTAAAATAAAGGGTTTCATTTTTCAATTTCTTGACAGGGCGGCAATTTATTCAAAAGTTTTTTTATGTCATCTTTCAAAACCTCGATTAAACTTTTACAATCTTGCATTTCAATTTGATATTCAGTTTGCAAACGTTCGTATCCATAGCAAGCTTTTTCTAATTTTTTTCTGGCTTCTGTCGGCTTTATATCTGTTTTTGTTAATCCTAATAAACTTTCCATATCTATTATGTGCTTATACGCTGATTTTAATTCTTCTCGTAAAGCATTTAATTCTGTTATGAGAGTGACGTTATCCGTTATCGCTTTATCTAGTTCTTTGTTTTCACTAGATGTATGAAAAACTTGCTTTTTCAGAGATTCTACCGTTCTTTCTAAATGATCTCTCTGTTTCATGAAATCACATTGCGCATCTAAATCAGCTTTACGACTGCGTAAAAATTCCTCATCCGCGCTATATTTATGATATAACTTTGTTACAGCAACTTTTAATGCATAAGGCTCTTGTATAAGTCCAGCAGCATCGAGTAAATCTATTTGAATGTTTCTTAACAGACGTTGACATTTTTTCTTCTCTCCTACTTCCATATAAATCTGATTTCGCGCTGTTGTTACTTTTTCTCTTAAATCGTGTAATTTTAACTCTAAACTAACATTTGTCTTGTGTAAATTGATTAATTCTGTTTCCATATCACGTATTTTCTCCCTAAAATCTCTGATTTCCTGATCCCTAGGTTCAATCTGATTTTTCAATTCTTGGATTTTATAATTTAAAACAAATTTGAATTTCTCTAATTCTTGATTAGTACGTTTCAGGTCATATATTTGTCGTTCCTTTTCTTGAACAGTTGCGTCTCTTTCATTAATTTCTTTTTTTAAATCTGCCACATTTTTTTCCAATTCTTGTATGGTTTTTTGAAATTGAGCATATTCGCTTTGTACGCGGTGAACCTGTCTTTTTAAATCCTCGATATCTTTTTGACCAGCCATATATCTATTACGTAATACTCCAGCTTCTCCCTTCAATTTTAAATTCATTTGTTTCTCCTCGTATAAAATATTTTCATAGTTGGTACGCACATCAACTATTTCTTTATCCGCGTCGTCTTCTATTTGTACCATTAATAATTCTTTCGCTCGCGTTTGATGTTCCATTTCCTCTTGAATTTCATCTATTTGTACTTTTTTTTCATGAACAAGAGCTTCATACTTAACTATAGTTTGTTGCAGTACATCCGCACTCTTTTTCTCCAAATCGGCCAAACATTTTTCATAATGTTGCCGCATTGTGTTGTTTTTTTCTTCCAATGCTTGATAATTATCATATTCCACTATTAATTTGGCATCATAATTAATCTCTATTTGTTGCATCGCTTCTTCATGAAGACCTTTCATTTTGACTATTTCCACATTAATATTATTTATTTCATTTGTATGATCTTCTTTCAATTTATCTATCTTATCTTTTAACTCTTGAATAGCTGCGCAATATCCCTGATGTACTTCACGCATTTGATCATTATGCTGACCTTCCATTTGTCTTATTTTGTATGCATGTTCAGTTTCTAATTCTCGCAATCTTATCGTTAAATCATTGATCATTTTTATTTTTTCTTCTAAATCTTTTTTGCCAACCAATACTTCATTAGTAGATACAAGTCCTTTATCTACTGCTACTACTTTTCCATCTGTATAATATAATTTCCAAATGCATAAACTACCATCTTTAGCGGTAGAAACTAAATACTGTTCGCTATAAGAAAGAGCTATCTGAAAAAAGATTGAAATAAAATAAGCATAAACTAGACATTTATAAGTAGGAAGCTAAGATAATCTTTACCTTTGTAATATCGCTAGAATGAATATGAAAATGTACATATTCAAGGGGTAATTGAAGAGGACATTTCAATGACATTATAATACCTCCCAAACAAGTAACAAATAAAAATGTATCGTTCTTGTTCATTATCATATAATGTACGTCCTTATCCATCAAAGTAAACTCGCGTACAACCTATGAACAAATTTAATAACAATAAATATTTCTGTTTAAAAATGAAATTTCTAAGACAAATATATCTTACCGTATCTTCCCTAATCTCACGAATTCGATTGTCATTTGCAATACAATATAGAAATGATTGATCAGCGGCAAGCACAATGTCATACAAAATGATATTTTTTAAAATAATCTCTGCTGTACGTAATCCGCTAGCCATATCCCATTCATAAATAGCACCCTCTTCGCCCATGCTTAATAACTTTGTGTCCATTTGAGACCATAATAAACCTTTTACTCTTGCTGTATGCCCTTTCATTAGGAACCGATTATGAAAACCAATAGTTGTATAAACTTGTATAACATTTCCATTTACAGCTGCAAACAAATGTCCACCGTGACAGAAAAGTACAGTTTTACAATTTCTTATTGGAAATTCATATATTGGCATCAAATCGTCTATTAATATGCTCATAAAACGAAGTTTGTCAGTAAATCCAACAAGACAAAATAAACCCATTGGATGTAAAGCAATGGAGCAAATATCTTCTTCGTATTGCTTAAACATAATTAAACTTTCTGTTTCAAAATTCCATATTCGTATACTTCTGTCAATTTCTCCACAAGTCATAAAAATTGGTTTCCATGCACATATAGACAAATCGGTAATAGGACCGTAATGCAAAGATTGACCCATTATGCTCATTTCTTTTGGTTCAGGGTCCATATTTAAATCCGGACCCCATAATGTTGCATAAAATAATTGGGACCATCCTGTAGTTACTAATAAACGATCATAACTTATATTAATATCTATGGTATTAACTTTATACAAATCTGAGGTATCAGTTTTAGCAACTTGTAAAGGAATTAAATAAATATTTCTCTTGAAATATTTATGCAGGCCTTCTCTTTCGAAAAGTACTATTGTGCGTGGACCTAAGGCATATGCAAAACCTTTTGGAAATGCTATCAAAGAAAGAATATCATGTTCCCATCTATCGTAATCTTTTTCTTCTAAAACTAATGGAGAAGTGGCGGCGTGTATGATATATTCTTCACGAATTTTTAGTTGCATAGATGTAGTTTCGCTCATTTGAAAAATATTCTTCAAATCACCATTTTCCATGTATAATATTCTACCATCTTTGGTACCTGCTAAAAGCCTATCCGAATTCAACCAAGTCATAGAACATATTAATATATTTTCAGCCTTTGAAAATCCATATGGACGCCATACTGTTTCAGAAAGAGTTAAAAATTTGAACATATGTGGTCCACCGACTGCCATTACCCCTGCATCCGATGGATTGCAAGCTATTATATTAACAATAGCAGATGCATCCTGTGGATTACCTACTTTTAAGCTAGATTCTACTTTGCCTCTTTCCCAATTATAAAAAAGCATCATTTGATCTGGTTCTCCTGTTACAGCTGCTAAATATTTGCTATCGAAGGTAAAACCAATACAATTAAATTTAATTGCATTGTGTGCCTCGTATGGTATTCCTAAAGATTTTCTTCTTTTTAAGGAATGAAGGTCATAAATAGATATTGAAGGCTTCTCACCGGTCTCGCATAAAGCAACATATTTCCTTAATAAAAATTATAACTAATTTAATTACTACAAGCACAACGTACATATTGAAAAGTTACATTTTTTCTCCTACTTACTTATTAGGTGTAACACAAATAATATTTATTTGAATTTTATCAGATAAATGTATAAGTTTTTGTTGTTGCTGAGAAATATCATGTATGGACAATACATTTCCTACAGGATATACTATCTCTGAATCTGTAATATAATGAGCATTTCCAATGATATCTGTTTTTAGGCCATATATGACTTTACATTGTAATGATGCTGCCATTTCACTGCTAAAATTTACAAACGAAATTTTTAACTACTTTAATCAATTGCAATAGTTTCGTCTGAATTTGACATTATTGTTTACATTGCTTAGCAACCTGCTAGTATATTTATAATCAGTTCTTTTTTTGAATATATTGTCTATAGTGATATATATGTTTATATATATATTTATATATATATATATATATATATATATCCATTGTTTTATATTTTAATATGAATTAAATTGAAGAAAAATAAACATTTATATATAAACAAATTAAGTTAACATGTATATTTGTAATCATTCCTTTTTAAATGAATATTTAAAAAAAACAAAATGGCTTCCTACATGCGATATTCGTGCACACGTGGTTATGACAGATTTGGTATTGCATGTATACGTTTATAATAGTTTAGATTTATTATACAACTTGTGACAATCTTTTTTACTAAGAAAACTGAATTTCTTCCTATCTTTGTTATTTTGTATGTAAATAACAGCCATGTGAGTAAATTTATACTTTCTTTTTAAAAATATAACCTTAATCATATTAATTATATTAAAATATTTGTTTTCAATAGAATGGCAACAGTATTAAAAGAGGAAGGAATTGATGAAAAACAGGACAATAAATTTAATGAAATTGTACCAGATATAGATCTTTGTAAAAAATGTGGTAATCAGTGTAACTCGTACACTAAACCAGCTCTACGTTGTAATGGTGATTGCGCTAGGAAAATTCATATCGAGTGCCTTCAAAGAGGAAGCGTTCCAGTGTCTTTTGTTGGAGATGTCTTTTTTGTACTACATTGTACTGAATGCAGTCCATTAGGCGAAGAAACAATTATACGAGATCGAATGCCATGGCTTAATGTAATTGTATTAACTTTGTACAATTTGAGAGAAAAATCCAGCGGAATAAGTAAAAAAGGATACTTCCATTGGAAGTCGGATATCAGTACTTTTGTAGACCGTAATTGGGATAATTTATTTAAGAAGAATGTGTAATTAATTTTATTTATTTTTAATCTTCCCATTGTATTATTAGCTAATATAGCTAATATTATTTATTCATCTTATATCATTTGTTTATTTATCGTAATTAATCTGATTTATTTAGCAAAAGGAAAAAGAATTGGATTGGTACAATTTCTGGAACGCTGTCACATTATAGCGGAATCGTTTTTAAATCGGGTACAGTTGAATTGGGAGAATCCGGTTGGTGGAGACTAATAGATAGCGATCCACCAGAAGTTCTTATCTCTAAAAGTATTACTGATTATTATCAATTATAATATCTATTATATTTTATTATACTGCTTATTTTTAAACAGATGGAAAGATGTTAATGGAACGTAAAAAACAAAATGGTAATCAACAAAAGTTATCGGCTAAATCGTACGTCAGTCCAACACCGTCCGAATCAGGTATTTCATTAGGAGAAGACAGCAATTATGGAACGGAAACAATCAAAACTCAAGGACCATCAATGTATTCGCAAGCTTATGTGCAACCAACAGAAAGATTATCTGATCTTTTATTAGAGGAAGATGAATTAAGTAATACATAGAAATTGAATAAAAATAAATATAAAATATAATATAGTATTTTATAATAAATTAAAAATATTTTTCAGATATGGAACTGGAAGATGATCTAATACTAGGAGATCAGCAGGAATCTCCTTCCTTATCGGAACTATTAACAGATTATCAATATCAAAATTATAATTTTAATTTTCCTCGACAATTTTCATTTGACAATTTTCTATCTGAATGCTCTAACAAAATAGAAACAACGGAAGAATCAACACTTGATGACGTTGATCATAAAATTAAAAGAGAAGAAGAGCAATTTGCAGAAGAAAGCAATGATAGTCTTAGTCTTGCTCAAGAACAACCACTTCCAGCTTCTTTATTCGAAGTTACTAAACGAGATAAGTGGCCTTGGCAAAAATCCATAGTTAATAGTAAGTGACTATTTAACATTACTATACTTCTATTTTACATTGCTTAATTAATATTATTTGTTAGATGAGAAGATACCACTTATGACACATCAAGAAGAAGCGTATCTTTTACAAAGAGTTAACAAACGTTATCTATATTCTGCTTTTCCTTCTACAAGACGTTTGTACAGAAAACTATATGTAAGGAAATTAAAAAGAGAATATGGTTTACCTTTATTGAATATTGATCATTTTGGATGCAAAGAAGAAGTATCTAAAAGACATTTTAAAAAAAACGATAGAGTCCTGGACAGATTTTGTGGAGATAATCTTGGAAATGTTTTTGAACAAAGGTTGCAAGGTCATAATAAACTAACATCTATCGTTAGTCCATATACGAATAGAGTTTTGAAGCCATTTATAAGAAGAGATACTTCCTCTCGACCGCTATGGTTAGCTGTCATGGAAGAACTTTGCGCTAAAGTTAATAAAAATAATTCATCGTGGAAACCACTGCCAAAAGCGTCAATTGATTATTCTTATATTAGACCGCAACACATTCCAGCGATCAACAGCCTCTGTAATCAATTCTTTTGGCCTGACATTGATTGTAAGCACATTTTTAACTAGATTATAATTACTTCAAATTAATAGAAATCTTATGTTAATCTTATTTTCTGTTTAGTGACTGATTGTTTACAATATCCTGACTTCAGCTGCGTCGTTCTATACAAAAAATTAGTAATAGGATTTGCGATACTTGTACCTGATGTAAATTATAACGAGGCTTATATATCATTTCTTTTAACACGACCTGAATGGCGTAAATCAGGCATTGCTACATTTATGTTATATCATCTCATTCAAACTTGTATGGGAAAAGATTTAACGTTACATGTATCGGCTACCAATCCTGCTTTGATCTTATATCAAAAATTTGGTTTTAAAATTGAAGAATTTATTCAAGATTTTTATGACAAATATATGCCACCAAATTCACGAGAATGTAGACATGCGCTATTTCTACGATTAAGCAGATAATTTATTTATATTATTTTTGTTGATTTTATTTTTGATAGGTAATATTTAACAAAAGAGACCCAATGTGAAACGATGTTTTTTTATATTGTGAAATAAATTAAATTTTTTCTTATGCGAATCAAGTTTTGTTGTTATTAATCTTTACAAGATTTAACTTTTTGAATGAAGCCAAATTCAAGCGGCCTTAATAAAATAATCGATAATGTATTTGAAGTGCAAGTCGATATTGTTTTAGATGGCATCAGGGGCGGGCGGGAATGAATTTGAATTAAAACAAAATTTATGGTTGTTTAAAAGATAGACATGAATTAATTTCCATAGTTAAGTTAAAATGTCTTCAATATTATTTATTATCTCGTTGAAAAGTAATACATTAAAAGCATAATTAATGGTGCTTTAAGCTTAAAGGAAGATAAAATTGATCGATCGTTATAGTGCTCCTGCTTGGTACAACAGAACTTTGGAATTGATGCGTGAAAAAAGAATTGACTAATATGAGAGACAGATGATATTGGAAAGAAGAAGAAAGACCAATGATCGATACTATAGGTATATACAATGTAATGAAGTTAGGTCAACCACGGTACATATAGATATATACGAAGAGATAAAGAAAATAATATATTACTTCAACTAATCTGATTGTTTATTTAAGAATAAAGGTTTAAAAAAAATGGGAAGTGTAATTTAATCAAAGAGTTTTCTTAGATTACCAAATATAAAGAATATTTCATTAATGAATGAGCAAGTTGAAAAAGACCGCCATAAAGATTGTCGTCATTCGATCTATCGAGGTTGCAAGAAAGTGAATGACGTCATTGAAGGAACAGGAGCGCCACGGAACTGGCGTCGAGCCATTCTCGAAAGTTCCGGAAACTTGTAGAAGGAAATTTTGTATATATGGGCTGCGCAGCAAACGCGACATTTTAGTACGTGACGAGAGGACGCAGACGTTATTTCGTTTAATCTACAGAATAGATTACAATAAGAATACAATCGAACATTCTATAAATCTTTTTGAAGAAAAGCAAATCGGGTGAAATTAGTAACGAGTAAAAGAAGGATCGTTCATTTGGACGATAAATTTATTTAATTTCAAAGGTAAGTTTCGAATCTAAAGATACATATATAGATATATATGTATATGTATATGTATACGTATACATATACGTATATATATGTATATATAATTTTTTTTCCTTATTTTTTTTAATTTTAATTTTATATCTTCTTATTAATCTTCGTCATCTTTTATTACGTACGAACGAGAAAGGCCTATAATATACAAAAAAAAGATAGAAAGTTTTCTACCGTATGTTATTCTATTTATTGTACACGAGAACAAATTTGACGCTCGCCACAAGATAAGATTGAATTTATTTTTGCATCGCATGAAATTGTAGCATGCTCGAAGAAATGGATTCGTCGCGAATACGCGTTCATCATTGCCAGAAATAGCTATCGGTGATACGTACGTGGGTGGGTGTGTGTACGCGTGCGTGCGTGCGTGAGTGAGTGCGTGCGTCGTATGTACATGCGTGCGTACACGCAACGTTATATGTATTCATTTAAATGAATAGTTGATTATTTTACAAATCTAACTTTCATATATGATCAAATTGTAGACGTTACGCGTAGAAAAATATTTCGATAAGTGATTCTATAGTTATACTCGTATCCATTACTTGCATAGAATATTATTTCGGTAAAATATTTTCCAGAGATTACTAGTGTGTTTGTATGTGTGTCAAATGTATGCGCACGCGCCTACCTACACACATACATATAAGTAAAGATAGTTGGATAGATGATAGATATATCAATCTTTCCTTATACCGAAGTGTAAAGCAATTAACAATTAAAAGAAGATTCATCGTATCGTAATATCAATTATCTAGTTAGGTAAAAAGGAAGCTTCTAGATTCTAGAAAATAAAATTCAATGCTTATCCGTGGAGTTTAAATTTTTTTAAAGCGCGACTTTGTGTCGTATCAAAAAGACTTTTATGGTTACAAATCGAATCTCGAATCGTTATTTATTACTTTTATCTTCATTTGTTCGATTCATTTTATATTGATTTCTTATGAAACGAAGAAAATGTGATATGAGATTAATGTGTAGGAATTAAAGTACATATACATGACAATAATAAAATATTACGAAATAGAAAATATCCTAAGATAGTTATTTTAAATAAATTTGTTTTTAATTTGTTTACAGGGACTAATCAAAATGGGGAAAGATTATTACAAAATATTAGGGATACCTAAAACTGCGAGTGATGACGAAATAAAAAAAGCTTATAGAAAGTTAGCTTTAAAATATCATCCAGATAAGAATAGAAGTGCTGGTGCAGAAGAGAAATTTAAAGAAATAGCGGAGGCATATGAAGTTCTCTCAGATTCAAAGAAGAGAGAAGTTTATGATAGGTATGGAGAAGAAGGTCTGAAGGGTGGAGCATCAGCAGATGGAGGCAGCGGTAGCGCATCTTACACTTTCCATGGAGATCCACGTGCAACTTTCGCTCAATTTTTTGGATCGACGACACCGTTTCAAACATTCTTCGAATTTGGAGGGCCTACCGCGACGCGAGTCTACAATCTCCATGATGATGATATGGACATGGAAGATCCCTTTGGTATTGGAATAGGGCCTACTCGTCAAGCACAAGGAAGCGCTTTCCGATCACACTCATTCAATTTTGCTGGACCTACCACGGTTAAAGGAGGTGGTAAAGATCGTGTTCAAGATCCAGCTATAGAGCACGATCTCTATATAAGTTTAGAAGAAATATTACGCGGATGCACTAAGAAAATGAAGATTTGCAGAAGAGTCGTTCAAGCGGATGGTAGTACAAAAAAAGAAGATAAAGTTCTTACGATCAACGTGAAACCAGGATGGAAGGCTGGCACGAAAATTACTTTCCAAAAAGAAGGTGACCAAGGCCGTGGGAAGGTTCCAGCCGATATTGTTTTCATCATTAGAGATAAGCCTCACCCACTCTTCAGGAGAGAAGGCAGCGATATTAGATATACCTGTAAAATAAGCTTAAAACAAGCTTTGTGCGGTACAGTCATCGAAGTTCCTACGCTTACAGGAGAAAAAATCAGTATAAACTTAACAAGAGAGATTGTCAAGCCTAGTAATGTAAAGAGGATTCCAGGACAAGGTTTACCATTCCCAAAAGAACCTTCAAAGAAAGGTGATCTTCTGGTTTCATTCGATATAAAGTTCCCTGAGACACTGTCACAAAGTGCTAGAGACATTTTGTATGATACTCTACCAAACTGAATGTATACAATGGAATCAAATCAAGAGGATACGCATTATTTTAAAAGCCAATCCTCGGATCATCCTGACCGATGAAGTTATGGATGCATGTACGTTCTAGTACATAAAGTGAAGTCAATGAAGAAGGATGTTTTTTGGGTGAAACGAATTTTATTTCACCTTACAGATAGTCAAATGTGATTTTTTTATAGGATTCGGTCACAAACAAATGTATGTCTTATTTGAAATTACATTAGGCTTTTAAAACTGTTTGGTTTAGGTCAAGAGTTAAAGGTCTGTTATCTATTGTCAAATGAAAGATTATCTGTCTTAGCATATTGTAAGAATCCTAAGTATTGATTAAGATCGAATATTTTAAGTTACGTAATTATAGAATAAGACTTGTTAAGATAACAATATTTTGTGCGATTGCTGTCCGAATTATTTGTTTGTATGTTTTATGAATGAGTCACATTTATGTGCTATATGAATGGAAGATGTATGCTACATACGTGATTGCGTTGAAGTGCACTTCACGTTGATGGTACGTCTTACTGGCAATTCTGCACAAGTATGTCAAAAACGAACCACCGATCACTGTGTTCAAACGCAAATAACATCGCAAAATCCTTTCAACTTTTATTATCGTATATTAAACTTATTATTTATTTTAATAAATTTCAAATAGAAGAGATAGATTCGGTAGCAACCTCTAACTCATTTGTAATCTCATTATACTAATATATATTTGCATATATATATATATAGAAATGTATATAATAATAATAATATGAAGGATGTGTGATAAGTGGAATTTTTTGTCGTACTTGGACAGAGTTGCCATAAACATAAGACGTCCTTTCTAATAGCGAATCAGTTTTCTTATGCAATACGTCTTCTTAAGTTTAACCATTGACTAATTATTTGTACGCTAAAGTAATATGAACTATATAAATTATCGAACAGTCTAATTGTTCGTTTTCTTGTATTTCTTTTATTGTTTTCCATTTAAATTCTTTAGCCATCGTTGATTTCTTTACATTGTGAATGGATATAATAATATAAGTCTAAAAATAAACCACACAATGAGTGATGTCACAGATCGAGCTTTCGAGAGACAATTATGGGATAAGCGTACATAAATTTCATAAAAATTCATATGTAGTGCTCGATCTGAAAAAACATATTATTTTATATTTAATTCACGAATCAAATTAATACATGTGTTATTATATAGTTCACGTACGTTTTTTTTCATATGATATACATACATACACACACACATATGCGCGCCCGCACGAGCGCGAATAAGTAAATATAATTATTATAAAAAAGAAAACAATTGAAAACGCACTTTAAACATTATAAAATATTTCCTTTAGCTGTAAGTCTGCACTCTCGTGTAAAATAGTATATTGAATTGAAAATCTAGGCTTTTGTAAGGTCAATATAATCCTTGTCTATCCATTCGTCATCGTTCGGCGGCAAGTTAAGGTCAACTGGTAAAGACGTCAATAACGGTAAGCCGTCCAACCCTAAACTAAAGTATCTGATTAATCGATCCGGTAGTTTAAGTTCATTCGGACGAGCATTTTGTAATCCTAATTCTTTTTCATCTTTATGATCGTGGAAAATATTTTTTGCGAATCTAAAGTCCTCTGGCAAACAGTGATGCTGACGGCAAAAATAATTCTGACCGCCCTCTTCGTGACACCATGTACCGTCTGGAAAATACGGATCAAGGCCAAGGTCGTTTAATTCTATACGCGGCGTGTAATAAGACATAATGTCTTTTCGACGACAGAATATAGAACACGCCATCCATGGTCTGTCAGATTCGTGAATAGCCTGCAACCCTCTTCCTTTTCCATCCAATTCCGGTAAGACCTCGCTAAATTCCATACATCTGATTGTAGCAAATTCGGTCGTTGTTTTGCGCTTCTTCTTACAAAGTCTATCGTCCTTGCAAAGTTGTACGTCGTAATGCAATCCTTCGCAACCAGCCTCGGTATTAATTGGCAACGGATTATTACAAATACGATGCCTTTGTCGAGCTCCCGTTGACCTCTGCAAACAGCCGCTACTGCAAGGTCCTACCTTCCAATTTGTCCAACCTCCTTCATTTATAAAAGGATCGCCTGGCCCTGGTCCTGTCGTGATTTGGAAAGCCGGAAGACATTTACCAGCACGACATTCTCTTCCAGTAGCGCAATTTGTACCGTCCAACGCCGGACCAGCGAAATAATATCCGCTTCTATTAGGAGTTTTACATTGAAGTGCTTGACAAATGTCATGCTCTTGCGTTGCAACGCTCGCATCTTTGTCACGGAGGAATACCTCGCATTGTTTTTTTGCATTCCATTTTCTACCAGGAAGGTCAAGAAATCGCGCATGATCGAGAGAAGATTGATCTTCCTTTAACGTCGATTTATCCAACAGACATGGTTTGTTTCGATGCAAATTTCGTACTATCTCGCGACTACATTCTGACCAAATCGTTTCTCCTTGTACTCCTCTGCTAGGTGACATTATATAACCATCCTTTGGACAAGAGTTACCGGTAGAATCGTGATGCATTCCCAAGCTTTTAAGTCAATTAAAAAAATTACAAATTTGTTTTATCCATTTGAAAATTGTAAATTTAATTGACATTAATTACCCCTTCATAATTATTTCTTGTCTACTTACTTGTGTCCAATTTCGTGAGCAGCAATATAAACCGATGTGAAGCCTGCGGATGGATAGGGTTTTCCAAAGCGATTCGTAACTCCTAATTCCGCGATAACGCACGAGTAACGATCGATACATATACCTCCTACTGTAGCCAAGCCCATCGTTGCTGTATTTTTTCTTCCATCTTCAATAGCATAAAAATCTAATCCAGATACGTAGAGTCCAAGATCCCAATGATTTGGATGTTTGTCATCTAAAGGATTATGAACTTTTGCATAATTGCAAAATGAATCTAATAAACTACCTCTTTCACCGTCGAAGTTTGGCAAATCAGATGGTTGTTTATGCATTATCTCCATTCGTACGAGAGAAATGTCAATCTGTTTTCCCAAACTAGGTTGATGATAAAGAGCTTGAACTCCGTTTACATACGCTAATAAGAAATCACGAATTTTTTCATCGTCTTTATCAAAAAATGGTGAAAAAATGTTATATCCAGCTTCATCAAAGAAAATAGCTAATTCTAACGTTAAATCTCCATTCGTTTCCCTTCTTATTGTCATTTTGTCGGATATTTGATTTGCTGTGGGTGGATTTAAATCATATTTATATCGGAGGTTCTCTCTTATGCGATAATCTTGTGTTATTGGAGGAGCATAAGCTCTTTTTATAAGGTGTGGTTCTCTCTCTTTTAAAGAAGCTTCCGAACGTTCGCTGATAAAATGATTATCAAAGGATAAGGAATTGAAATCCTCCATTGGAGTAATTTCTAAAGTACTATTTTCCAAAAAGATAAGACCATGCTGTATGAAATTAAAAAAAAATTCATTGTAAAAATGATATATTACTGTAAGTATAATTCCTCTAAATGAAAATAATACTAACTATACCACGCTCTTGACAAAGACTTATAGCTGCTGAACTAACACTGTCCATATGAAGATAATGACAGGGAGTTGGTTCATTCAAATGTGTTAACTCCTGCAAAATGTTTTCTTCGTTATAGCTCCACACTTGGAATTTCGGAGCTATTATCTTGGTATTTCTATGCAATGTTAATTCGATGAGCTGTCCAAATGCATTGAAAGCTAATGGAACCTAGAAAAAAACATGATTAAAATTTTAAGTTACACTTTGTCAGATATTATATTTACAATGTTAAGACATATTAATTTTATGGAAAAAAAATTGCAAGAAACGTATCTACCTCGATAACATTTTCTGTATTCCATAATGGTAACATTACGATTTCAACATCCTTCATATCATTTCCATGAATTAGGATCACAAAAATGATCAATATAAAATTTAATATGAAAATCATATTGTACACTGTAAAACATTCCAAAGAGGAATATCAGGAAGAATCAATCTGCTTCTTCATTTATATATATGCATGCAACCGATATGCAATACCCGCAGTATATTATCATTGCAGAAGTTAAGCATAATGTTAAATATATGCTGGTGCCTCTAGTAACAATGTCATTGCCCTTAACAGTCGATTAATAAATGGATAATGCATTTGAAACATATGTTAACTGTAAATAAAATAACATCGTATAAGGGCAATATATGGAAGAAGTTCAAAAGATTTATAATCTTATACTTCTCTTTGACTAAAAATTTCATATGTTTAATAATCAAAGTGTACAAAACGAATGTTATAATAAGTATAATTTTATGTTCAGGTAGAGCTTTTGTACTTTGTTGCATTAAATTTACAGTATTTTTCACATCTGTTAATTCTTTCACTAAATTATTGTACTCATCGACACCATCCACTCATTCAGTAAAGAATTTCAATATTTTCTTTTTTTTTTTTTGTAAAAAGGATGTGTCGTAAAATTATGTTACATTATTAACTTCTTCTCTTTTCTATTTTAAATGATTGCGATTGAATATATAAACCCTTCCACGCATACTTCTTTGTGCACTCACATTCTGTCTATCATTCTTGATATGATACAGTACCTTAAATTAAATCCAGTACTGTTTATATATTTATATACAATTACATTTTATCAAATTGAACTTAAGTTTGTATATTATAAAAGTTTAATTATGATAATTGAAATAGTTTGATAATTTTAATGCGAATATGATTAAAGACTAAATGGAAGGTAGGAATAAAAGAGAATGCTTGATTGTTACAAAAACCTTAGTATTAAAATATTCCAATAAAAACAATAAATAATAATGATCAATAATAAAATTAATAGATTCGGCAGTGTATGTAACATGCGAAATGTAGCAGTGCCTACATCGTATTGACTACATTTACTAATATATAGGGATTATTAAATAATTTCAATAAGTAATTACAATCGTGCATATAAATCGATTCATTTTTACATATTCTTTTTCAAGTGAAGCTATTTTTACATACTTCTGTTCATCATGATAATAATTATGGGTTAAACGCGAAGGAGATTTTTTTCTCTGCTTTTCGTTTAGGCGGCACACAGCGGCAATCATTCTCGGCGAGTTGTTTGATTACAAATTATAAACAGAATATAACATACACAGATTACAGTGACAAATGTATTCACTATCTGTTTGGGCAAAGAAGGGAGAATGACGCAGCTAACGCACAACTATAATAAGTAAAAACAAAAAATAATTAAAAGGAAAATGTTAAAAAGGCGACCGCAAATAAAAACCGCGACCACCCAAACGAAAAGTTTAATGTCAGTTCCACGAACCGATGTCACGCTTAACGTGTTAAAAATCTTTTATACATAAAGTTTTACATTTCCAAATAAATTGTATTAATATATGTATAACTTTTTTCTTTTAGATCATTATTCTCCTTAAAAATGAAAGCATGAAAATTTCATAATTTTTGGAGTCATCTTTCTCTTTGGATAATTCGCACAATTTTACAAATTTTTGTGTAAATTTGTGCCAAAAAGGAAGTAATTATATTTTTTTGTCGTGAAAATGACCGTGTTTTGCTTGCCCCTTTTTTTGCTGTTGTCATTTACACTATGAGTAACAGTGAACACTTGAATAAAGTCCTCCAAAAGATCTTGGAAGATAGAGCTGCTTATAAAGTTTTGCAGCTATTACTTGCTACGAACACACAAAGGTTTTGGTAGCCTTATTTTTGTCATTCATAGTTGTCTAAACATCTACGAAATATGGCACACTATTTACATGATTTTTATGTCTAATACATTGTATATATAATAACATTGTGCCATATTGTAGATGTAGACTATGAACTATACATTTTAAAAGGCATAATCTCATAGGTACTGTGTAATGTTATACCCTAATAAAGGTACTATACACAGTTCTTTATGTGGTATAACATTTTCACGTTTGTTTGGCAATTATTTACCAAGCTTTACAATAAATTTTGTCTAATATTAAAGTTCATACGCGTTAGATCGCGCACTGAGTAGTAGCAGAATAATTGTTTGTATTCTTGTCATTATTCAAGTATACACTTCTTTCATTTCCGTACAAAATCTGTATAGAAATTATAATTTATTTTCATATGTATATTACGCAATGTTATAACTCAGCGATTTTTTACGAGATATATATAAAAATAAATTATATTCGAATAATAAATTAATCATAAATTAAATTGGATATATAATTCAGTAAAAATTGTTTTAAGTTAAATTTTTCCTACGAATTAGTTAATTATTTTTAACGATTTAAACCGAATCAATTAGCTAATAATTGACGTTGACAAAACCAATAGAAGAAAGAAAAAAAAAAAGGAAGAAATCCAAATGTAACGATTTTAAATTAATGTCAGTTGATGCTAGAAAATATTACGATTGTTTTTTGTTGTTTTCACAGGCACATAGATGACCATGTTTGTAGACAAACTTTATAAAACGTCCCATTTCCAATGAAATATTTGATTATAAGCAAACATTCAATTAAGTTTGTTCATCGTTTGGAGGCCACTGTCCAGAATGATTCCAGTCCCAATCTTTTCCTTTGGGACGAAATTTACTGGTACTTCCAGAATTATTCCAATCTCTGTGAAAAAACTTTTTTTTGAAATGATGTCGTTCGGGATCCACTTGTCTCTGATATTTGAGAGGTACTGACGAATTACTGCTTGCACTACCATTATTAGGATTTGCAGGACGGGGACTGGTTGGAGAAGGTGTCCGTGGAGGTCCTAATGCTTCGTCAGGAGAAGGAACAACAGGTGGTGGTCCTGTTGCAGCACTATCCGAGCCTAATCCACTATCGGGACTTGTATTTACACCTTCCGTTGATCTTCTTCGTTTGTCTAATTCTGTTGATGCAAATGCAACTAAGCGATCAAATCCGGAACTGATACGATCTTGCCAATCTGTTTCTCCATCTGTAAAATGACAATTCAATTTGACAATTCAAAATTCTCTTTAGATTATGATATGATGTAACATTTTCATAAAAATAAGCCATTAACCCATAGTGGCTGTAATCAGCATATCTGTTGATGCAATATTGGTAATAAACAACTGCATATTTTAAAAACAGTTTATTCTCTCTGCAATCAGCTTTAATAAAATTATCGCTGTAACTTTTCATATTAATAAAAATTCAGCAAATATTAGCTGAATTAATATTTTTATACAGATAAAAGTTAGAAGGGAAAGCTCAGAAAAAGATAAGATTTCATTTTATAGATTATAATATACCTTTGGATTATAAGAATTTCCGATAATTGTTTACATTGTTATAATAAAATGTATACAAAGAGTAGAAAACGTTCTCTAGAATGGATTACATTTTTGGATATTTCATATTTAATAAAATTCATAACATTCATAAGATGATTGAAAGTTAACGTACAACTTCCAATAATGTATTACATGTTAGTATTGCATATCTGTCCTTTCTAGCATAATATCTGTGATAAATCTGTAGTCATTAATAAATCATCGCACATTCTATACTATATATTGTATAAAAAAATAACAAAGATAAGATCCAGTCAAAATTATATTCCACGTATTTGATAGAAAGTATTTCTATATACAAAAGAGAATATAACTACCATAATTCCAAAAAAAAAATATAATTATTTTCATGCATGCACGTGCAACAAATACATAGAGAAACCCATTAAAATATAATAAATAGTATAAAACCTGCATAGAACAAGCCAGCATGCTTTGTCTGATATTACATACCTCTTCAATGTAATTGTACTTTCACATTGTAGTAAAAAAAAATTAAAGTTTATATTAACCTTTATATTAACATATTATTTATAATTTATATTAATAGCCATTATATAAAAACTGATTTTTTTAATGTGTGAGTTTGGCTTATTTTCATGGAAATATATCTTCACAAAGAGAAAATAAATATAAAATTAATAACTTTTATTATATATGGAAAAACTTATACTAATTATATATGCAGCAAATGTGAAAAAAATGTTATAATAAAATGTCAATAAACAACTGTAATTTCAACAAGAAATTTTGAACAACCCCTGTGGGTTAAAACTCACCAGCAACCACGAACCAACCCACAGGCAGCCATACTTTTTGATTTCTCCCTTTGATCTGTGTCTCAATCTCTAATAAAACAAGCTTCAGGGGATGTGAGCGAGATCGAGTATGTGACAGAGCTAACCAACAAACAGCTACAGTGCATCTAACAAATACAGCAAACAACAACAAAAATAAATATAAACAAAGAAGATCAGGTACCAACTCCATAAGATAAGGTAAACCATAGACAATTATTTTTAAACCATTAGTGCATAAAAACTAATAAAAGATGCATAGCAGAAACTAATACAACAGCATCTAAAAAGATTAAAAGCAGGGTGTTTAGTAAAAGTCTTGTGTAGTAAGGATGTAAGAACACCTAACGGTAGCATATTTATCATATTTTTACAGCTATATCATTAGTTCATAAATGTGTGATAAGATATAAAGTACAAGCAAAGTTGTCCAGTCCGTTAGCTTGATGCTAAGATGATATATTTAAAAATTAAATACTCTTCAATTATTTCATATTTAAATATAAAAATATTGAATTATTCTATAAAATATAAAATATTAAAAAAAATATTACATATCATATGCATGATTATATTCATGACATATTTATAATAAATATTTTCGATAGATTAATAATCCAAATGACATCATCTACTTATTTCATGCTGATGCCTCAGGAATTATAAAATAGTTTTATAGATGCCTTTTAATTCAAATAATATTTTGTTATACTCTATTTGTGTTGTGTTTGCTATGTATATATACTTAAAGGCTCATCCCTTTGGTAAGAATTAACAAAATATTTGTACAACTAGTAATAAGTATGTTCAAAAAATTATGCTTAACTTTTATACTAAATATTTTGTTTTTTTACACAATATCATTATTCTATTATGTCAATTGGAAATATATAAATAATGATAAAGATTTACGTACCATCGTCGCCAATACCATTCCGCTGTCTTTGTGTTGTCATTTGAGGTTCGTCAACCAAAGGAGTTGAAGTATTGGAATGTGGTTCTACGAGAGGACTTAAAGGTGCACCACTTGTGCTTACTGTTGATATGACTGCTTCCGTCTTTACAGACACTGCAGGCTGTGACTGACAAATTGTAGTCATACTGCCATTTGTACTAGTATTGTTGTTGCTATTACTGTTATTTGTGTATCGAGGATATGGCTGAAATCTAACAGATACAATGTATATTCATGAATATAATACATATAATATATATCTGTGATGAATCCGTAAATGAATATAATATATATGTATATTATAGTATATTCATGAATTATAAGTCTCATATATTGTATAAATGGGGCATTCCACGTCAAATCGACACTTAAAATTTACAATTTAAGTTAAGTAAATTAAAGTAGCTTAAAAAGTTACTTAAAATAAATAAAAATATGGATATTTTAATTTATCTGCAATTATAATTTTTTATAAACCCTAAGAATGGTATATATACATTAAAAATTTTCGGGTACTCTTTTGGTCATTAATCAGTGGACGACAAATCGCAGCAACTGTATGTGATAATCATGTCGTAATCAAATTCTTTAAAAAATTTCGTTTTTTTGGAAAACCAAAATTTTCCAACTTTAGATATTTTTTATTTTTTCCTTGGAAATTTTGGCTTATTCTGAACTTAAGTCATACCTTCTCCAGATGGGACGACATTTCATTCTATTTTTCTTCCTAATTTAAAAAATTTTTTTTTATTTTTTCGCGATTTAATTTTGTTTTTAGACTAAAATAAATCTAAATCAATATATATATATATATATATATATATATATATATATATATATTAATCTATTTAATGACTTTAGTTTAATTATATACTATCGAAAATTATAATTACAAAGATTACAATGCACCATTCGTCAATTTTTGTAGTAACCACAATTAACAATTTATTTAGATTTCCTTAGTAGCTTAAATAATTTACAAACAGTATATTGTTCTAAATTAAAATAATTCCTTACAAAAAACACCCATCATTGCTTGGTATAGGGCTATACAACTACTGAATTCCTGCAATGCTTTTTATTTTAAAAATTGGTCATTTAGATCATCTGCTTCTTTATTGTAGTTTTCAATTGGCAAAAATTTCACTGTTATGGTTACATAGCGTGTCTGTTTGCAAGAAATGATTCCAATTCAATACAATATACTGTTTATAAATTATTTAAGCGATGAAAAAAATCTAAATAAATTGTTAATTTTATTGACTACAAAAATTTACAAATGATGCATTGCAATTCTTTTGTAATTATAATTTCCGATAGTATATAATTAAACTAAGGTCATTAAATAGATTTATAAATATTTATATACAGGGTGATTCACTAACTCTTGCCACCTAAATAGCTCCGAAAATATAATAGTAGCAGAAAAGTTTATTAAAAAAAAATTGCATGAAAAATTCAGGATTATAATAAGACGTCAGTTTTTTTTTTGCTTGGTTGGAAATTTATGAATCAACTTTGTTTTTCTAAATACAATGCTATATTTTAATACTTATTTTCTGATAACGGCTGTCAAAACAAATCCAACGATGTGCAACATTAAATACAAAACCTGATAATGACCAATAAAAACTATTCGAAAAATATCTGTTCCGTCCGTTGTCGTAATAACTAAAGGATGACGCAATCGTGACACAACTATGGCGCGACTATGTCGCGGAGGAGCTGTATTGTGGCCGGCTTGTTCACCAGATTTAACCTTGGTTGAGCTTTAAAAATATTAATGTTGCCCATCATTAGATTTGCCTTGACAACCGCTATCAGAAAATAAGTACATGTAACCCTCCTATAACACGGTAGATAGGTTCCTAGAAAATGCCATGTTGTAGGAGACCCAGAGCCAGTACAAAAAGGGAGTTTACGTTCCGAAAACTTATTAAAAACAAATTTGTGTGATGCTTTCTGCTAATTTGAGATGCTTTTTCTCCTTTCTAAAGACAATCCAAGATTTGTATCTTTATTTCTAATGAACTAAATTTACTATTAAATGTTTTTTTTTTATCTTTATCGGACATGGCTTGGGACTGAAATTTAATATCTTAAAAACAAAAAAATTATTCTTTAACACATCGTGGCTTGATGCAGCAGACTGCCAACCAGCAGCGTGAGACACTTTTATTTTCAGGCCACAGAAATGAAAAGAAATATTTTCCGCAACACTGTACTTCTACAGCCTCGCTTGTACAAAGGTTTTTGCAATTTTTTTTATCGTGTTAGAGCGAAACCATGTTATAAGATGCGTGTTGTAGGAGGGCTATCTGTATTAAAATATAGCATTTTATATTTAAAAAAAAAAAAAAAGTTGACCTACAAATTTTTCTGATCTAAAAATCTTTTCTGATACTATCATACTTTCGGAGCTATTTAGGTAACAAGAGTTAGTGAATCCCCTGTATATTTATTTAGGTTTATTGTAATATAAAAACAAAATTAGATTGCGAAAAAATAAAAAAAATTTTTTAATTAGAAAAAGAAATGTCTCGGCCCATCTAGAGAAGGTACGAATTAACCCTTTCGGTACGAGCATGACTATAGTCACTCGTAATATTTGTGAAAAGAGTATATTTGTAATTTTCATGGTTATCCATTGCAATTGTTTTGCATTTTGTGCATACCTTTTAGGGGCACCATTAGGGTGACCGCTTGAAAAAAAAGATGATTTTTCAGGATTTAAAAAAAAAAAACTACTGCATAGAATGTTTTAATTTTTTAAGGAAATATTCGTGGATATGTAATGAATATATGACAAAATTTTTGAACCAAAAAATTGAAAATTAAGTGAGTTATTCGCAATCTCCCAAGGCCCAAAAAAAAGTCCCCTCATTGCTGCAGTTATAATGCATGAAATCAAAAAAACCAAAAAGTTTGTTAAATTAGAAGGAATTTCCCGTACCATGAACCTCAGTCGAAACGAAAAATTGAAATTTTACAAAATGGCGAAGTTTTAAAAAAGTTTAAAATTTCGCGCGAAAATTTAAAGATTTTTTCTTTATAAAAGAAGCTGCGACAAAAATCAAATCGATCGGATGATTTGTCTTCGAGTTATAACTGCAGCAAATTTGAAAAATATAGTTTCGAGAAAAACGCGTTTAAAGTTTAAGTTAGTGATTTCATCGTTAAAAATCAAGAAATATTAAATGGCTGTAACTCAAAAACTATTTGAAATATGCACTTGAAATTTTAGTATGTTATTTTTAAAGGTATAGACCAGTAGTTCCCAAACTTTAGAATTCGCTCCCTTTAGAATTCACGTAGCGTTCAACGTGTTAAAAGTTGTTTTCTAATTGTTTAATAATGTTTCTTTTGTACGGGCAAATACAGATGTTTCGTAAGTGCATAGTTTCGGCGGTATGACTCATTCAGCGAGAGTAATGCGCCAAAAAATCAGTCCGTAGCGAAGGGGTTAAGTTCATAATGAACCAAAGTTTAAAACGAAAAAAATAAAAAAAAAATAAAAAAATTCCAAAATTTGACAAATTTGAGGTTCTTTTTAAAAACAAAAAAACAACACAAAATTTCGTATAAAATTTGATTTCAAATATTATTTTTATATTTTTTTCCCAAAAAGTACATTTAAAGACAAAAAATTAAAAAAAAAAAACGTACCCTATAAGTCAACTTTTGACAAAATTTTGTTTACTTAAACAAAAAAAAAACATTTTTTTTTTAATTTATGTTTTTTAGGTTGGGTAAAAATATTTTGAAAAAATTCTCGGTGAGGTTTTTAATGAAGTTGAAAATGATAAAAAGATTTCAACCAGATTCAAAGGGGTCAGGGTCGAAAGTAATCGATTTAACATGGAATAATCATACAAGTATACATTTTAAAATTATATAAAATTCCTATGCATAGTCCAAAAATATTCATCAACTGTTAAAAATTATTTGATTATTATACCTTCTGGAGATGTGCAGCACTTGATCACTTTTATTAATGCTATTTTGATGGTTTAAAATTCGAGCATGTAAAGAGGCTGCTAGTCCTTCTACCGGTAAAAGTTCGCCATTTGAAGACGCTTGAGAAGAATGTATAGATGAGGATGAATGAGAATGCGTAAGTGATTGGGTAAGATTGTCAGAAAAATAGGATTCGTGATAGGGTTTAATGTCTGCTCGTGGTAGTTGTACAGGTGTATATCTGTAAAAAGAAAATATGAAAACATTCTGAATAATATTTTGAAAAATGTAAATATTACCTTTGAGGTTGCGTCACAGGTGTAAATAATACAGATGACCTAGAAGTACTAGCAGGAGTAGATGTAGCAGTTGTTACAGATGTAGGTGCATAACTAGCAACATGAGCAAGAGTTGATAAACCGGCATCTCCCTCAGCACTAGCTGGCCGGCTAATAGGAGAATAGACAGTTTCTGGCCTCATCATTGTACTCATATCAACTGTTCCATTTATTATCGTTTGATTAGATATTTCTAATGTTCTCTCTATCTCTCCACTCACAAGATCACCAATTGTTCTAGTTCCTAATAATCCACTTCCACCAGCAATAATGCGATTATCGTGACCAGATTGTCTAGAATCTATTGCTGATCTATCGGATGGAGTTAGATGTGAAGAGAGACGTTCCTGAGACAAGTGACGTCGAAGTGCAAGCTTTGCAGGAGAAACCTATAATTAAAATATTTATAAAGAAGTAATAAGATTCCAGATAAAAACTCAGCATTTGATACAATAATAAAGTAATATTCAAATTACCTGCGTATAATCAGGAGTAGAAACATTTTGTGGTAACACGCCTCGCTTTTTATCCGTGTCAGAATGATGCAGTTGTACTTGCAACTGCATTTGTTGTTTACTACGATTTTGTTGATCTTCATTTAATACACTTGTAATGATACTTTTCAATCTATCTTCAAAATTAGCTACCCTAGGTGGTTCTTGTGTTCTATTTGTCATTTCTTTATTATTTGAATGCGATTGCGATGATGAAATGCATGAAGATGTCGTAGAAAAACTAAGAGATGCTTGAGGCAGTCTAGTTCTAGAATTATTATTAACATTAGAATTTTGTCTGTTTGGAATTCGTCCAGCTTCTATTTGTCTCCCAGTTTCTAAAATTTTCTGTGCTAAAATTTCCGGATTATTTTCTTGTATTTTGCCGATATCTGGAACATCAGGCCACTCCTGAGATTTCGAACGTCCTTCTCTATTTTTCCGAGTAGACCCACTTTTTCCATTTTGCTGATGATGCTGACTTTGAGAATGTTTATTGTTCATTGCATCTCTTTGTTGTTGAGCAATAGCAGCTACTTGCTTTTCATTACTAGCCCTTTCTAATACATTTAATTCATGCTCCAGTTTAGACACCTAAAATTAAGACATATACTCCTAATTTATATACACAATTCTTGCTGATTGATCAAGGAAAATGAAATATATTGTTATACTAAAATATGTTGCTACTCGACTATATTCTTAAACAAACAATCGACAAGATTTCTCATTTTACTTATCAATACGTTACGTTTAATAAAATTAATAGTGAAATTTAGAAAATTAATTAATTTACTAGTATATTATTTGAGTCACGTCTTCCGAAACAAAAAACAAAGTATCAAATCATAATTAAAGACTAAAATGAAACAAATCTGACATACTTGTAATTGCAATCTCTTGCGCTGAGATAATGTAAGAGATATTTCTTTCAATATATAATCGTCAATAAGTGGTTGTGGTGTGTTAGATACCCCATTATTGTGTCCATTGTATTTTTCGTGTAATTCTTGGTGTCTAAGTGCAGTTAATCTTGTTTGTTCTGATTCCATAGATGCCACTTGAGCTTGTAGTTTACTTGCTTTAGCTTGCAATTGCTTGTGTCTAAGTACTATTTCTTTTGCTTTTGCTAGAAGATCTCCAGGGGAAGTAGCATTTATACCTAATTCGGTCATTCTGGCTTTTAAAAGTGCTACACTATCATCGATCAATACTTTTATTTGTTTTTCCAATTGTGCTGCTCTTGATTGTAGTTTAGAATTTCTTTCTCTCTCTTTTAAGATATCTGCGTTAACAGATACTCTGTAAGTAGGAGTTCTCATAGATTCTAGCATAAGCATGAATTGGTCCCTGGAAAAAATAACAAAATAACATTTTCTAAAATAAGCTTTTTCATCACTTCATTAACCAGCAAATATTCGTGTTACAAAATCTTAATGATTTTAAATATATTAGTAAGGTAGCTAACTTAATCTTTTTGAAAAATAGACTTACGCCGTTTTCAAAACAAACGGCTCATATATAATATAATACAGGTAACCCTCCAACAACACGGTATCTCATGACAGGATTTCGCTATAACACGATTCACGAATTGAAGCAGATCCTCCAACAACACGGTATCTCATGACACGGTTTCGCTATAACACGATTCATAAATTGCGGGGACCCTCCTACAACACGGCATCCTATAAAACTGTTTTCTTTCAAAAAACTTGTGTACAACACTGTACTTCTACAGCCGCGGCGAGGCTTGCCGTCTTAAAGATACAATGTTGCGGAAAGTATTTCTTTTCATCTCCATGGTCTGAAAACAAAAGTGTCTCACGCTGCTGTGAACTGAAAACATCAACGTTAAATGCGTGTTGGAAAAAGATATGGCCCTCTTCAGTTGAAATAGAAAATGTGCGTGAATCGTCACAAAATGAAATTGGTGGCATATTAGAACTTCCTAAATCAATCGGAGGCGAAGGTTTTGTGGATATGGCTATTGAGGACGTTCAAGGTTTATTAGTAGAAGAAGAAGAAGTTGACGAAGCGGATTTGATGGAAATGGCATCTGAAATTGTAAATCAAATCGATCCTGAGGACACTAGCACTGATGAAGATTGTGCAGTTAATAAGTTAACATTAAAAAAATTACAAGAAGCCCTAAGCTTAACTGAAAATTTCGAGTCATTTATCTTGAATGCAGACCCTTCCGCAGAAAGAAACCTAAAATTCAAAAGGGAGCATCAAAACTGTTTAGCTCCATACCGAGAAATTTACAATGACCTGGTAAGAAACAACAATCAAAGTAAAATTACAGATTTCTTAAAGAGGGAAGAAGATGCAAGAACTTTAAATGAAGAAAACGTTCTGAAAGTGAAGGCGATATCATTCCACCGAAAAAACGTTCTCGGTTAATTAAACTGAACAGTGACGACGAAGAAATTTGTTAAATTAAAGTTGTGTTAAATTAAAATAATGTTTTTTGTTTTGTATTGTTCATACATTTATAGTTTTAATAAAAATTAAGTTTATTAAAAAAAAAAATATTTTTTTTTATATTGTTCATACATTTATATTTTTAATGAAAAAAGGTTGTTTATTTAAAAAAATAAAATAATATTGTTTTTTTTTTGTATTGTTCATACATTTATACTTTTAATAAAAATTAGGTTGTTTAATTAAAAAAACAAAAAAATATTTGTTTTTAAAAAGTCTTCGGAACGTAACCCCCCTTTTTGCATTGACTCTGGGACTAAAACAACACGACTTCAAATAACACGGCATTTTCTAGGAACCTATTTACCTTGTTGTTGGAGGATCACCTGTATAATATAATATTATTATTATTATTATTTCTTTATGGTAGCGAAACATGGTGGCTTACGTTACAGGACGAAAAGAAATTTAGGATTTTCGAAAACGCGATGAGGAAACGGGCGAATGGAGAAAATTTCATAACGTAGAAGTACATCGATTGTACAACAAACCAGAAATTATTAACTTCGTAAAACCACGCCGATTAAGATTGGCTGGTCACGTGAAACGCATGTTGGATGATCGAACGGCGTATAAAATACCGGTTGGTATACCGAACGGGAAAAGACAACTAGGTAGACCGAGATGTAGATGGGAGGACATTATTCTTTCGGGATCTTTAAAAAATAGACTACGAAGACCACGAATGGAGGGATCGTGCTCAAAGACATTAACACTGTTGTGATTTGGTATTTGCCAAATATTTAAAATAATATACAATAATAATTATTATTAATTGGCATTAGGAACTCGAAAGTTCATTGCCGCAAATACCAAATCCCGGCAGTGTTCCTGTTCCTGAGCGCGACCCTTCCATTCGCGGTCTTCGTAGCCTATTTCTTTAAGATCCTTCCTAATATTGTCCTCCCATCTACGTGTCTCGGTCTACCTAGTGGTCTTTTCCCGCTCGGTATACTGACCAGTATTTTATACGCCATTCAATTCTTCCCCATACGTGCCACGTGACCAGCCCATCTTAATCGACATGATTTTACAACGTTGATGATGTCCGGTTTGTTGTCCAGTCAATGTACTTCTACGTTATGGAGTTTTCTCCATTCGCCAGTTTCCTCATCGCGTTTTGCACCGAAGATTTTACGAAGAACTTTATTTTCGAAAACCTTAAATTTCTTTTCATCCCTTAACATAAGTGATCACGTTTTGCTACTTTATTCCGTTTTCTCCCTCTGTAAGCCTTTGCATGTTTATCCGTTTATTTCCTATCCGCTGCCTATTAGTCTTATATACGGAGAGACGTTCCCTCATTCTAGCTATAACTAAAAAGTGATATATTATAATATAATACAATATAATGAGAAAGTTTACCTGTATAAATCCAAAAGTATTTGTAAAGCATATGGAGTCGCGGACGGAGCAGGTGGTATACTGAGTTCTTCGTGCACAGAGGTCGAATGAGATTGTAAAGAAAGGGATAAAGAAGAAAGTTGTTGATCCACACAACCTGGTGCAGGAGGTGGTTTCTTTCCAAGTGCTTGAGGAGATGTACTTAATAATGTTTGACTGTGTAATAAATCGAGTCCAGATATATTAATAGCTTTCTTGGGTCTAGCCCTTTTCACACCTCTTCCTCTTTGTCTTCCTCTAGGAGGAGGTCTTGATATACCATTTGCACTTTTTCTGTTTAGTTTCCTACGAATTTTAGTTGATTGTCGACGATTTTTAATATTATTTTCATCCATATCAGAATCGCTATTTGTTCCTTGCTGTTCTGAATGATTAGGACTATCTAACTGTCTGGAAAGATCTCTTTTGGTTCTGTCGCTTCTTTCACCTCTACTAGAAATCTTATTACTATTGCTGGCAGTGTTACTTATCACAGAATCAGAATTTTCGTCTAAGCCACCTTGTTTATTATTTTTCAAACGATGAAAATAACGTTCCAATTTAGTTCTATCAATAACATGCAAATAATAGGACACAGGCTTGCCTGTCCATGAAACTGAACCTTTCAGTGGTGACATTTCAGACACATGCATTATGGTACCAATATCTGCGAATACAAATATATAATTTCATTTTTTAATGATAGTTTTTTTAAATACAATAAAAAGTAAATAAACAACTAATTACCACTAAGATTTCGATCCGTTATTCGAAAATTTAACGGACAGAACGATTTTGAAGATACTATACGAGCGCCATCTCGTAAATCAGCAAATCTTTCTTTTAACTGATGATCTACATTTGGTCCAAAAGCAAAATTATTAACAAATACAATTGTAGCACCAGTAATGCTCTCGCGATGCTCATCTGCTAGAAAATCACCTTTCACCAAACGATATTCTCCGCATATTTTTCCAAACCAATTTAACCATTTTCGAAAATTTATTTCCATACTCTATACATAAATCATAAAAATATACAATTAATTTACAATATACGACTGTATAAAGAAATATAATTATTTAATATTACCTGAGCATATCTCGAAGGTACATCGGCTCTTTCAACACCGATACAAATTTTACATAAAGTTGCCGCTGCCATTTGGAGAACTACTTGTCCAACACCGGATCCTAAATCAACAAAAACATCATCCTCGGTAACATCTACCTGATCGATCATTTGACATATTAGTTCAAAACTCGTTTCCCCGTAAACCTCAGGTGAAAATGGTTCATATTGATTTAATTTGTCAGGCTCAACTACAGCTTGATTATACGTTTGTTGAAGTATATGTCGAAGTAAGCCTCTACTTGGACGTTTATTTAATCTTTGTGATGGTAAACTAGTGCCTTTTTCCTATAAAAAAAAATAAAAAAGGATAACGCATTATATGTAATATAATAAACAATCATAATTGTATAAGTTTTATGATACTTACCAGTTGTACCAAGCTATCAATAGCCCTATTAAATCTATCGCATAAACTTTTCATACTTTCATAATCTCTTGTATCGTAATCGCAAAGAACATTATTTTCTAACGGTAATTTTAAGTCAGGTAAATCATCGCAGACCCATCTCATTGTTTCTACAACATCTAGTGCTCCATCATGACGATCCTGGAATAAAAAGTATTTCAAATATTTGCACTACATAAACATGTAACCGATAAACAGATTTTGTATTAAATGTTTACAATATTTCACGACCTAATAAGTTATAGACTTAAGTAAAAAAGTATAGAAAGCATTTCAAATTATTTAAAAAAAGCTTTTTATTTCATCTATCGATCTAGAATTAAAAAATTTATTTTTTAAGTGTGTTTATAGTAAGCACGTGTTTATGTGCATTGTTAACATAATAATCATTATCGTATAGATAATATAATAATCATTATCGTATAGATAATATAATAATCATTTTGTAGAATAATATAATGTTTCCTTCTATAAATAATTTAAATAAAATATGATAATATAATCAAAAGATTGAAGCAATTATGGAATATTTTGATACCAATTAATCAAAATATAAACAACTCTTACTCACGTAGGAGAGAAAAAAAAACTGAATATAACAATGTAAGTATAAAAGTAATATACAATAGGTAACTCGAAAGTCGTTTAAGATGTAAAGTGCATTCATCCATCCAAAAGGCGCGCATTGTCTTACGCGAAATGCAAAAAAATAGCAATATTTTTATACGAAACGTTGATAAAGAGCGCGTGTTATACTCACAGATCCTGATCCGGAAGTGAGGGGCCACTGATAAACTATCGGTTCTGCTCCGGCTGGTGAGTGCAAGCGCAGCTCCATTTTACGCGACGACCCGTCCTCCTCCTCCTCTTCCTGGTCCTCCACCTCCTCTTGTTCGTGCTCTTATCGTTCGCGTCACCGTCCTCGACGTCGTCGTCTTCCTTCTCTTCCGTCTCCGCCACCGCCCCCACCACCTTTTCCCTCTTTATTCCCTTCCTCCACCTCTACTTCTGTCCTTAGCTAAAGAAAACGCAACGGCGACGGTGACGGCGACGGTGACGGTGACAGCAACTTCAACAGCTAGAGCTACGGCAACAGCTACAGCAACGGTGGTAGCGACGATTAAAACTTCAAGATAAAAAAGCAAGGCTCACGCCGCGTGACGTAATCGTAACACAACAATAAGAACAGTCGCCGTGGCCGTACTCCCCCCTTTTAAAAAAAGGGGATAGATCGGCTCGTTCTCGCACTAGGACACCAGCACCACGTAGACGACGCTTGGTAAACCCCCCCTCACTGCTAGCGCTGATATTCCGGAGGACATGAAAAGGGATACAGAGGAGACACGGGCGCCTCCACACAAACACTCCAATACACTACTAGCAACAGCAGTTGCTATAGGGGCAGCAGCACCAACAGCAGTGGCAGCACCATATCACAAGCAAATCACACTATTACATTATACAACGTCCCTAGCTAAACTTGTGTACCACTTGGCAGCACTAATAGCACGACACAACGACACGTGCAGAAAAGTACAAAAATGCCACGAGGATGAACGTCAATGGTTCTATTGCACGCGTTTCCCTATGTAATTTTATATTTTTTTTTCGACAATAGATCAGAAAAAAAGCAACTCCAAATGGAACTGGAGAAAAAAAATGATTGAACGATAAAGATAAATAGATAAAAATGTGATGAACGAATGCGAATACCACGGATTTATGTCGAATAACGATAAAAAACACTGACACGAACGACTATTAAACGATACAAGAGGTAGAACTTTAAGAAGGGAGCATGACGATATCAAAACATGGCGTCGTGTCTCTTCTTCCTCTTCTATATTAGTATATATGTAATATGTATAATATATATGTATATACACATGTATATCCGTTGCGCGCTCGGTTCCTTCTCCTCTTACCTCTTTATCCACCACTTTTCTCTTTTCTCTCTTTCGTCACTAGGCAAGCTTCTTCTACATCTGCGCATGCGCCGAATCGAACCGTTGAACTTTCGATCATATATATAATACTTGTACTTCGTCAGAACAGCGGTACTAACTGCCATTGTTGAGACGTAACGAATCAGTAGTATTTTTTTTTCTTTTTATTTTATTCAATCGTTCACCTTTTTACAAATAATTATTATTTAAATCTTAATTTCCATATAACGTATTACTTTTAATGAAAAATGTAAATGTAGATTTTTTTGCATATTAATTATACGAGAAGATATGGTCTTATACATATCCAAGCAGATGTGGCTTGTTGCTCTTTAAAAGGATCGTACATATGCTACATGAACGTGATATTTGTCACGTAGGCCATTCAGGTGCGATTGTCAGCGCCACTTACAACGATTTCAAGTGTACACGCTAAACGATATTAAGTACTTTCGTTCAGTTACTCATGGTAATATTCCTGCGTTAATTAAAAAAAATGTAAATATTTGTTTATTTTTGGCATTAACATTTTTTGATAGAGTAACGTTTATTTTTGTAAATGAAACATTGAAGATTTAGTTTCGATAATCGAACTACACTTACATTATCGTTTCGCATTCTAGCGATCTGAAAATATCGACTAATGTTTTGACACGCCTTACGGGAATAAAAGGAACTAAAAGTCGCGGTTCGTACCGAGTACGATACGACAGTGTGCCGTAAAATTTTTCAAGTTTAACATTGTAAATAATTTTATTGTAATTAGTATAATAATTAGGATATTATAACAATCATGACGGAGGAACTAAAATTGAGTCATCGTGCTAGGAAAAGAATTAAGGAAGTTAAAAAGAAAGCAAGACCAGGTAAATAAATTTAACAATTCAATTTCTAACCTACTTTTTAACGTCTTAAGAGTATTTTTTCTATGAATTCTCAGATTTGTCGTTTTCAACGCATTGTCAGAGTTAAAGAATATAAATTTATATTTAACCTTAAACATATTTCATAAGTCCAATATCAAAATCGTTAATAACTTTAAGATTAATTTGTGCTTGTAAGACCTTGGGGATGATGTAACCATAGTATATATTTTTTGTAATTATTCTAATTAATATAATCCTATCTCTAAATATTTTTAATTTCTAATAAAAGATTGCAATCTGTTCAAGGTTTACCTAAAATATATTTTTCTTTACTAATCTACTAAAGATAAAAATAAATAGAACTGTTTTATATGTTAATACAGTGCTGTTAAGTAGAGTAATATTTTTCTAGAACTTGTAGATAAAGTTGCTTGGACTCAGTACGGGTACAGTAAAAATTTTGAAACTTTCTGGAATTTTCAAGATAATGTAGAACGTATAGATGGATCTGTTGCAACTACGGAAGAATTTATTGAAAAATATGAAAAACCTTATAAACCTGTGATAATACAAGGTGTTCAGAATGGTTGGAAAGCTCATCATAAGTGGACTATAGAGGTAATTTAAAAGATAACAAAATTGATATTATATCGTAAACAAATATTAACTTGTACTTAGACTTACTCCAATAATATTCTATCGACATGCAGAGGTTAGTTAAAAAGTACAGAAATCAAAAGTTTAAATGTGGAGAAGATAACGATGGGTATAGTGTTAAAATGAAGATGAAGTACTACGTACGATATATGCTTAACAATGAAGATGATTCTCCTTTGTACATCTTTGATAGTTCATTCGGTGAACACCCTAGACGGCAAAAATTATTAGAAGATTATGTTATTCCCAAATATTTCCGCGACGATCTTTTTCAATATGCTGGCGAAGATCATAGACCGCCATATCGGTGGTTTGTTATGGGACCTGCCAGATCTGGTAAATATTATATAAAAATCTGAATATTATTAATATATGAATAGATGTTTTCAAATGACTTGTTTGTAACAGGTACTGGTATTCACATAGATCCATTAGGAACTAGTGCCTGGAATGCACTAATTTCAGGTCATAAACGTTGGTGCCTCTTTCCTACTCATACTCCACGCGAGCTTTTAAAAGTAACTGCAAGTGAAGGTGGAAAACAGAGAGACGAAGCTATAACATGGTTCTCTATTATTTATCCTCGTACAAAATTACCTACATGGCCTCAAGATTGCTTGCCAATCGAGATTTTACAAAATCCTGGTGAAACTGTTTTTGTACCAGGTGGTTGGTGGCACGTAGTATTGAATTTAGATGAAACTATTGCAGTCACACAGAATTTCTGTTCTCGTACTAATTTTCCAGTTGTATGGCATAAAACGGTAAAATAGCAATCAATGCATTTCTTTTATTCTTTATAACGCCTAAAAATATATTTCAAAATAATTCTTGTAGATACGTGGAAGACCAAAATTATCGCGTAGATGGTTAAAAGTACTCAGGGATAAAGAAGCAGAACTTGCAGCACTTGCAGAAACAATAGATGTAAAAGAAGATACGGGAGTAGCCAGTGATTCTTCGAGTGGCTCTTCGAGTAGTTCATCGAGTAGTAGTAGTAGTAGTAGTCAATCTGAAGATGAAAGTGCTGATGACAGTGGTCAAGAATCTCTTACAGCACACAAAAAGAAGAAAAGGTATATAAAAAAAAAATATTTCGTTTACTATCGTGTTTTTATATTTTATATTAAGCTCAAAATAATTAAAAATGCATGTATTATAACATTCCATTTATTATTATTTTCTCTTTCATCGTTGCAAACATATTTAAAAATTTAAGGCTTAAGGTATAATACTGTTCTTTTTTTCTTATTTTTTGTTTTCTTTTTAATTTTTAGAAGAAAATTGAATAACAGTCAACCCTGACAATATCGAGTACATGGGACCTACAAAGATCTCAGACTGTACAGTATTAACCAACAATTATTGTTTGTACTAAAAATAAATATTATAATTATTACCACCCTAATGTTCATAATAAAATAAATGCTAGATAATACCAAACTATTCTTATTAGATAATGTTATTAATTAGGTATGTTATATAACATTGCGCTTAATTTTGATTTTATCTATTTTTGTAGCATTTGGCAAAGATTTTATTTAGGTCGTACATTTTCTCTAATAAATTACAAAATTCTATTAGAATGAAATAAGTTAAAAATTTTCTTTTATCAGATCTAAAAATGTCTTAAAATTGATGCGAACAATAAATATAAAATAAATGTAGCATTATTAAATAGTAAGAAAAGCACAATTCATTCTTATGTGAACTGTATCATTTTAATTGTCTTCTTAATTGCTTATGATTTATAGAATTATAGAAGTATGTTGCTGTTATAATTATAACTATAATAATAATAATGATAATAATAATAATAATAAATTAGATTAAAATTTCCTAAAATATAAAATAAATCTAACCAATAATATATTAAAATGTTAACTTTTTAGTGAATTGCTTCTTTGGAAAGTTCTTGAATCTCTCTTATAGTAGCTCCACAATCTCACAGTTCCATCACTTTGCGTTGACACGGTAACCATGCAAAGTACCACATAGAAGCAAAGTAATAAAAATCAAATTAAATTTTCATTTACATTAGGCATAATAAATGTTTTCAAAGACAATAAACTATTACACATAACAAATTTACTAAAACTTGGGTGAATTATCATCAACTTGGAAGTGTTCTTTTTAGTATTAATGATATACAGAAACAAAGCTTATTTCCAATATGTATTTTGGATATACAATATTTGAATAAACATTAAGATTAATACATTTTAATATAGAACTATCATAGCACATTTACTGCTATAATTAAGATAAATATATATATATATATTTTTTTTTTCTTGTTTTCTATTTAATAAAGTTATATCAAACAAATTTTAAATATACAATTGATTTACGAATTTTTAAATATCATTAATGATATTTAAAACAAAGCGTGTATACGTGTACGATTATGCCCAAAAAAGCCAGATAACATTAGCAAGACAACAAATGCAACTAAATAAATAAATTAATGAATTAAAAAGAAATATAAGCAATAGTTATGCTCGAATTTTTTACGATATTTATAGAAATATTTTAGTAAAATATGCAGTAAAATATGTGAGTGAATTACCATAACAATAAAAAATAAAGGAAACACAATAACGAACAGCAGAAAAATAAAGTAAGTTAGAGAGAAACTGTGGAAATAGACATAGTTAAAGAGGAATCAGGAATACGCCACAGCTTCACCTCTCCAGAGCTGCAATCAACATCCAAGTTGTTATTTCACTCAAGATATTAAATAAGCTGAACCTAAGCACATTTTTTTTTTCAAATTATTTTTACTTGAGAATAATATAAAATCTGCCTTTATTCAACGGTGCAGAATATTTGAGGAAAGTGTTTAGTGCTTAAGGTGCAGCAATGAAAACAGAATATATATAAATATTATAAATTGAACTCACTTGCTAGCAGTAAAAATATGTTGTTGATTAGTTATGACAGCATTAATTGCAGATCCGTGTGCTCGAACTTCCCCGATGGGAGTACATTCTCCTGTTTGATCTTTGGGAACAGACCATGCTTTCAAAACACCGCCACGACAACCTGACACCATAATGGAACCATCATTTATTGTACACAGTCCCAGGATCCAATCCTTGTGTGCATTATTTAACGATTGAACTAATTCCATTCTACCTAAATCCCATCTTTTAATGCACATATCTCTTGAACCTATAATATTATATCATTTAGTTAGAGATGTGTTATATAATTAACATAATAATAAACAATAATAAGGACTTACCAGAAAATAGAGTACTATCACTTGTAGCTAAACATTGAACTCCATCATAATGCGGTGGTGCTAGACTTACAGACATACCAGAAGTATAAGGTTCGACAAGCGAAATCAAATGATCTTTACTGCCTGCTATTACTCTGCCATCATCGGCTATAGCTAAGCACATAACAGCTGCTGTATGAGGTGTACTTAATTTACCATTGCATGTCAATTTACGAAGATCCCATACTCTCACTTTATCACTAGACGCAGTATACAATTCTCGTTCATTTAAACTTAATACAAGATCATTGATTGTTGTTTCGCCCACAGGTATTTGTAGTGTTCTAGACGGAGTCGATAAAGCAATTGGGCCACTTTGTGCTTGGCCTGATGAAAAAAGAGTTTTTATGCAAGTATTACCAGCTCGTAAATCCCATACTTTAACATACGCTGCAGAGACACTAAATAATAGATGATGCGATGCAGAATATTTAACTGCAACAACATTATTTGGGTGACCGCTAAGCGTTAAATTTTCAATTCCGGTTCTCAAGTCCCATACTTTCACAGTACGATCTACAATTGATAAATAATACATATAATTATATTATATTTAATGAAAATAAATTGTTAAATATCACTATTTAATATATATTCACCTTTTGATCCACTAAAAAGTAAATCCGTGGTTGCATAAATAGTCAAAACAGCTTTACTATGTCCCTCTGCTATATGAGAACATTGTAAAACTGCTCGAGGTTGAGCCTAAAATATACAATAATTTTTTAGTAATATATTTATATGATTATAATAACTTTAATTAAATGAATTTAAATACCTTTCCCTGATATTGGGAAATGATTCCCTTCATAGGCTGTGGATCTACAGACATTGGTTGTCTGCTAGCAGTAAGTCTGGAGAAAACATTTTCCTCACGACTATTGAAACGTCGGTATGTTGTTGGTGAACCAGGCGGCGAAGAAATATCCGTATGCGCTACCTGTTCCCTAATTGAGGTGTTTATTATGTTAGCATGTTAGTTAGCTGGTAGTAATCAGCTGTAATCCCAATTAATAGTCATGCCTTCATCGTATTTTAATAATACAATGCATGCGGGTGCACAGTAAGTACTATAATTATAAACCAATATAATTAAGTAAAAAATATATATATATGTACGTGTCAGTTTGAAATATATGACTTAGTCAATTATCGAATAGATAAGTTGAAAATTACTTTGACGTTAATCAGTATAGTTAACGATAATGTTATGATATAACATGAAATATTAATATTTTGTATCAGTTTGTGGTAAATTATTTTAGCAATTTAGAGTTAAAAGATAAGCGAAAGCACATACAATTATATGAACAATTATTGGATATAGAATATCTATATAAAGGCATTATAATATATAAAGGAGGACTTTATATAAACATTTTTACTGCACAGTATTATGGAAGGATTATTTGTGCAATTATTTATTAACTCCGAACAATACAAAAGTAAATCTTAAATATATACAAATTGAAATTTTTTGTTTATCAAATTTTATATTTTGTACACATGTAAATAATTTCTGATCATTCTATCATCATAATGTGATGCAAAGCACAAAATGAATGTTGTATATTAGTAAAGTTGTATATAAAAAACAAAAAGGTAACATGTATTTAGTTTATAACTATAATACTTATAATAGCAAATATTAGCAGTATTCTTTAACAAATAGAATCTAGAAAATGTTGTATAATACATAATTTTCTTCTATATGGTACATATGTTAGTAACATTACCTGATAATATTAACTTATGATAATCAACGAGTAATTTAAATTCATTATACACGAAATTACTTTAGAATTGAATACAAATTTATATCTGTAAAAGTAAAGTAAACTTTGCGGTATTACAAAAAGAAGAGCTTCTATTTGTTTTTAACTTTTATCTTTTTCTTCTTCATTTTCACAGACATAAATCGTATATTTGTTACTATTTGCAGAAATGTTCTTTTCTGCATATTAGGTAATATATTATTTTTTGTAAATACCGAACACGATCGTATTTCGATGTTGGAATTTGTATAGTTTTAAATTCTTTTCTTCTTCTTTATATTCTATTTTACCAAAATGCATTCTGATTTTAATTTGAATAAATATTGAATTTATTTTCGCTATATTTATATTCCATCTTGTTATACTCTTGCGAAAGGCACCCATTTATTGAATGTAAATTCATTTCAGGAAGATCACCGTGCATATAACAGAGCATTGAGACAAAGATATATAAGAAATACGAGAACAAAGATGTACTGCAGAATTATCACTCACATAGAACCTCCTCCAGGATGAAGCGGTCGTCGCAGTGGTCGAGGTGATGTACTATCACGACGACTCAAAGTTGGCGAACCACCAGTTACACCTGTATTATGTTGACTTCTAGTAAGAACTAATCCTCTGGAAAAATTGATAAGATACGGTGTATATTTAAATGTTTACAGTATAAAAGTAGCAAAGTACACAAATAAAAATATAATTAGCAAGATGATTTAAAAAAAAAAAATAATGATTATTAATACAAAGCATTTTTCTAAAAGCTGAACCTACTTTAGGCTACCAGGTGCACTGGGTACCCTTGTGAGTGGATGATTGTGGTTTTGATTTTGATCTTCTACTTTGAAATTTTCTGTACTAGCATGCACTCCGTAGAGAAGCTCTTGGGGTTGAGTTGTTCTTCGCCTCACTTTATTATTTCGCTGTTTTTCTTCCATATTTATTATTTGACTGTAACTTTCGCTGCTATACATAGAATATATAGACATAATATAAAAATAAAAAAAAACTAGGCAAGCTTTGAATATTATAATATCGAGTAATAATTTATAATATTGACTGGCAGAAATTAACTTAATTACAGCTTGTTGTACTATAGAAGACGAATTTAAAACAATTTGTTACTTTCTGCTTGGAAATTAAAGCAGATGCATCTATGGATCAAAATTTATTAGTCAGATAATAAAAATCATTTTACTTACTTATCAGGAGACGAACTTCTTGAGCTAGGAGGACTATATGTCGTTGTATTATGATTATTTGTAAGAGACAAAAGATCTCTGTCGCGTAAAACATGTTCGAGTAATTGATGTTGCACGTCGCTTTCTTGTGCTACTTGATTTAAACGCGATTCCATATCTCTTACTTCAAGTTGTTTTTGTGCAGCTACGCAACTTTGTTCAACTGTAAATGCCAACATTCTTTCTAATAAATATTGAGCTTCGTCTACGGTACGAATAGTGGAAATCAATGCTTCAACACCAGGTTCACTCTCTACTTCGCCATCCCCCATTTGTACCATATCTCTTTGACATTCGGCTATGCTATCCTATATAAATCACATTGATTATAATATCTTTATAAATAAATAGATCAAAAATGTATATAAAGCTCACTATATATTACCTGTAGATAACTTATTTTACTTTTAAAATTATCGATTTCTTCGTCAATATCGGTAGTATCCCCTTTACCAGTTGCAATAATATTTCTGTGTTTTTGTAATCTATCCAAATCTCTACCTAATTCATCTCTTTCCTGTAATAATCTTTCCATTTCTCTTTCTGTTTCAGCTGCAGCCTGTTTTGCCAATGCTTGTTTAGTAATAGTTCTCTCAAAAGTTTGCCACCGTTGTTTTAATGATTTTGGATTAATAGGTTTGGATGGTGTTCTACCAGCTACTTTTTGACTGAGTCCTCTATCTCTTTTTCTTAAGGCCGATACTTCCTCTTGTTTGCGCCGAAGGACTACTTCCTTCATTCTTTTATCAGCTTCTAATGATCTAATCATATTTGCGTTTCTTCTACTTTCTTTACGTAATTGTGCAATTTCTCTATTACGTTTTAATTCATTTTCTTTATGTCTTTGAGCCTCTTCTCTCATTTTATTTAATAGTTTTACTTTAGCTCTCTTCATCTCTGCTAATTCATTTCGAAGTCCACGTAATCTGGTCTCATTTTGAGATTGATTCTTAAGTAATCTCGCGTGTTCTTTTTTCGCCGATTGGAGAAGCCGCATTTCTTTCTGCATGGCAGATATTTTTTTTTCATATTCGTCCCTTAATTTTTTCACTTTTTCAGTGGGTTGCGTTGGCTGCTGTTGTAAAGAAGATAATACTTTATCTCTTTCTTCTTGCGTATCTTTGATGCGTGCTTGCAGCTGAGCAAGTTTATCTTCATAATGTTGCTTCATGGATTGTAAACGTCTTTGAGAAAGCTCTAATTCTTGAATTAAACGTTGCTTAACATCAATGTCTGACGTTAAAGCTTCTAATTCACGGCCCATAGCTTCTTCTTCTTCATCTTCCTCTGGAACAACCATTAGAAAATTAATATATTAATAATTAATATATTAATAATAATAATACACACAATATTAATAAGCATACCTTTACGATCTGAATCATCATCGGAATCATCCTCGCTAATAGACTCTTGTCCATTTTCTGTGTCATCAATTTCTGCTTCATCCACAGCCTTATTTGTAACATTAGCATTCTGTGTTTGTTGCTCTTTTAAAGCAGCCAATGCTTCTACTTCTTTTTGTAATTCTTTTTTAGCATCGATTAAAACTGACGACGAATCACTTTGTAAAATATATGAACTATCTCCATATGGATTTGCAGCATTTACCTGCAAGCAATATTTAATCAAAAATAATTGAAAATATACAATAATAATAATAGCATAATAATTGCTGTTATATATTCATATAATATCATACCTGAATCTGTCTCTTTTTCAATTGCTGATACATAGCCTCTGCTTCTAACAATCGAGCTCGTAATTCTTCTATTTCTTGAACATATCCTTGGACTAAACTAGTTACCTGTTCACCACCTCCACCCGATGCAGATACCCATTGTCCTGCTGCTTTCTCTGCTAATAAAAGTACATTTTTAGCAGTCAATGCCTCAACCGTTTCAGAGAGTGCCTTTACTCTTGTTCTAAGACTTTGTAGTTCACTGTTTAACATTTGATTTTCGTGCCATGCATCGTTCATACCATCTTCACCAACAACTCTTTTCCCTGAAATCAAGATATATGAATAAAACAGCAAATGTAGTCAATAAATTATTATATAGACAAAACATTTATATACATATGTGTGTGTGTGTGATGTGTAACATACCTTGTCTATATTCCATTAATTCTAATTGAAGCTGCTGTATTTCTCTTCTAAGAGAAGCAATTGTTCTTGAACTCTTATCTTGATTAATAGTAACTTTATTCTTTATATTTCTAGCTCTATTCGCATATTTTAAAGTACTTAAAGTTTCCATAAAATCTCTATCACTTGGTGAAACACAAGCTATCATAACAGTTTGACTATTGCCTGTAAATACGAAATTTAATCAGTGAATATATTTTTGAAGTTCTTTTATCCATTCCATATTTAGTATTACCTCCTAAAGAATCTTGCAGTAATCTAGTTAATTTTGAATCTCTGTAAGGTACATGTAATGCTTTCTTCGCTTTATCTCCAAGCGCAGAAATGACATTTCCCAGTGCCAACTATAAAGTTACAAATTTCTATGATCGTACAATAATGAAAATTATATTCTAGATTATTTATATGATAGATATTGTTATACCTACCAATCCACAGTTTATAGATATTCCTTCTTTTGCTCTGTCTCCAGTAGCACCTGTTCTTTTTAGTCTTTCTGAGCCAGCCAAGTCAACAAAATGAAATTTAGCTGTTAATGTTTCAAATTCATTGGCTGGTTCGGTACCGCTTGTATCCACGTCAGCGTCCGGATCTTCCACTCTGATACATCGTTGTTGTTTAACATATAATGTAAATATTGCATGCGATCTTGAAGATTGCGTGTTCATTTGCGTGGAACCGGTTGTACGCGACAATGCTCCTAAACGTAGATATTCCAATGCTTGTTCCGGACTAGTTACGATTCTCGGTTCAACACCAGCTAAATGTATATTGCCAGCTGTATCTTCGTGAATTCGCGCACCACCTCTCGGACCACCTGGTTCTAGTAAATCCTTTAAATCTTCGTTATATAATTCTAAAAATTGTGCAGTAACCTGTTAAAAAAAAAAATAAAATACTATTAACAATAATTAATAACAAACGTGGTAGAGAAAAATATTATCAAAATAATGAAACCTTAAATTCTGGTGGCATTTGTGTACGTTCTCGAGCACGTTCTTGCTTCTCTGCTATTCCTTTAAATAAATGTCTAATGGCTCTAGGAATTATACCGACAATATTGTCATCAACTTCTACATCAAAACCAGTACCCATTGTATACGTTTTGCCCGAACCAGTTTGACCATAAGCAAGTACAGTTGCATTGTATCCATCTAAAGCACCTTCTATTAGGCGAGCAACGCATGTATCATAAATAACACTTTGACCAATTCCCGTATCAAAAACATAATCATAAGTGAAGGCCTTGTCTGGTCCAAGAAAGACCTGGGGTTCTCCTGGAGGTACTTGAGTACAAATCCGGCACATATCAATTACTTCTCTAGCTACTTGAGGCCTTATTCTGTAATATAAATATAAATGTTTTATAATTAATACAAATTTTTATTCAAATTAATACGTAATATAAAATTAATAACACAACGTTTAATAATATCTAATTGTAATTTTTTCAATTATAATTTTAAAATATTAATTCATTCCCCTTAAATAAAGTGAATTATTATTATTATTATTATTCAATTCGTATATACAAAAAATAATAGGTACAATTTAAAAAGATAGTATATTTTCTTCCATTTGTGTGACAACGTTGATTAAATTTTTATTCTTGTATCTGCAAGACAGAAAACGATCCATAAGAAAAAGTTAGAAGGTCGCATTTTTTCCTTCACGAAGAAATAGAAGAAGACATACTCTACCTACATATAATAATCATCGCATAGAAAATAAATATGTGCATGTTATAAACGGAAAAAACTTGCTGGTATATAAACCCAACATACTACAAACTAAGGGGAAAAAAGGGGGAAAGGGGGGAAGAAGGGAGGAAAAGTGCGACCCCCCATTCATCAAAAATCAGGTATCCAGATACTTAATGTGAGTTTTAGTTACGCAGCCGGCAATAAAACCTACACACGCTTGTTTCTTATAAGGAGATATTATGCGATCAAGCGATTTAGCATTTAGAAGCTGCGTAGAAAATATGACAACGCCTAGAATAATTGTTGGATAAACAATGAATATGATTATTAAGTATCGATTACAAATAAAATAATAAATATTACGTCAAGAGGTCAAATTTATTATTATACGTAAATCATAGTTATTTAGATTAGAGAAACAACATTGTTCTATTTTCAATGTTTTAAATAAAATTCTTGTATATATACTATTCTTTCTTTTTTTCACGAGTATCATGCGAACAAATCAATAATATCGTGTGTGTTATGTCGCGCCAATTTATAGCAGACGCTACCGCAAATAGCGCAATATAAGCTCTGTGTACATCAAATATTTTTATTCTTTTATTTGATATATTAATTATTACGACATATTAATAAAAATTCATTATTAGCTTTTATTATTTCTTTAAGAAATTTCTTATATTCATATCGAATCGATATCGATATCGGTATCGGAATAAAATTTTCTCTTAAAAAAATAAGCATTGAAAAAACTTACAATATTATTTTTTATTTTTTTACCATTAACGTTAAAAATTCGTAGAAAAAATTGATAAAATATTTTCGAAAATTCAAAACAATATTGAACGAAAAGTTTTTTTAATTAAAAAATCTTCCACGTTAATAACGTAAAAAAAGAAAAAAGAGAAAGTAACGAAAAGCTACAAGAGAAAACAGCTGATTGTTGTAATTAAAAATAATTGGGAAATATATAAAATGAAAATAAATGTTAATTATTTACTTAAGATAAAATTTAAGTATAACAAAAAATCTAGAAAATAATATTTGAATAAAATATGACAAGATATATTATGTCGATGAAAAGTATCCTTGAAAAAAAGTATAATTTGATGGATATATGTAGAAATATACGTACGCGTTAGTAGAACGGTACGATGAATATTTAAGAAGAATTTATAAGCTGAAAGTTTTGACATTGGAGCCCTTTGCAAGATTTGATATTAAAATTGATCCAACTTACCGTACGGCAACGCGTACACTCGAATCATCAGCCATTTCGATGTTATTATTAAAAGCGTACTGATTTTTTCAAGTCTTCAAGCAATGGGGGGGTATCCTTAGCGAAAATTTATGGATAATAAATTAGCACTAGATTAGGCCGTAGAATTTCATTCGATTAATTTTTTACGTTACTTCAATGTGCTTCCTTGTTTTGTGCGGCGCACGCATTAAACGCGCCGATCGTGAAAATTCCGCATTTTTTCGGAACAACGGGATTAATTGCGAACACGAATTACGCTCGGACATTTCACATAACGCGAGGAAAAGTCTTCACTATGCCTATGTGTTGGTCCAAGGACTAGATGGATCGGCAACTCGAAGAGCAAAGTAATGAACGTCTTCGGTCAAAAGTACCAAGCTTAAACAAAGATTTTAATTACATTTTCATTCGCTAGATAACGCTGATCGAATATTCTTTTATCATTTTTATCAATTATATATTCATTTTTATATTAAAAGTTATTCTATAAACGTTAACATTAATTATCTATGAGAAAATATAAATATGTTAATTATTCGAAAAAAATATTAAAAATCAAACAGTGGTTGTTTTATCGACAGGAATAAAAGACATTAACGCTATCTCTTAAGAGATACTTATCAACGTAATAACAAAAATGTTGCTTTTCTTATAAGATAAGTTATCAACTTATACGTGTTACCGACAGTTAATAAACGAAATCTCTATCAGAATTTGTAAATATCGGTTTTTTTGTCAAGTTTTACACAGTTATAGGGGTCCCCTACGAATATACATTGTGTCAGCAGTAAGATCCATTCCAAATTACACAAATTATTAATTAACTCTACAATTAGAAAAATTAACAAGTATTTTCTCCTTCGTATTTTTATTTCTTCTTTCGTCACGAGTTTATAATTGTGTGATTAAGACAGTACACAAGATAATTTAGTATAATCTGTTTATTTACTTTATAAGAACAGATGCATCAAATTGAAAGAGATTAAGTCCAATGTCTGTCTCAATTTTGTATCTTGTTGTAAATTGTCGAACCACCTAGATACATGAACGTATTGTGCCTTCTCTTGGTGACTTAATTCACTCTGAAACAGTAAAAGAGGATAGAAAGATTATATTGATCCGCATGACTTACTAAGGATTCTTAAGGGGTCAGAACTAATTTTATATTTGTCTATCACGTATATTTTTACCATTATTTTATATAAGGTGTAATAAAGTGTAACATCTGCGATAGTTTGCATCGTACCACTTAAATAAGTTTGATCGCTCAATACCATATTTAATTCCTGTAATCAAAAGAAATGAATAATTAATCTAGTTACAATAATTCTAGATAATTACCTAATCTTGTTAATTACCTTTAAAACCTTTCTAACATTGGCAGAAGTATCTGCATAATTAATACAAATTAAAATATATTCCAACCATTGACGTGTTAAAGCTTGTGTCTCTTTATCATTGCCAAGTATGTCAGGGTATTTAGAGTTTTTTACCAAGGCTTGTATCAAAGTACTAAAGTACAAAACAGGCTCGGTCGCTGGTAAATTACTAATATTCGTTATCTACAAATAAATTAAAGATGAATTAGAAAATACAATTTTAATATTTTCCTTAAACTAAACTGACATATAAACAAGAAATAAACAAGCAATGACTTACATTATTTTCACATAAACGTAATTTATCCGATGAAACATCTAAATATTGAATAATTCTTTTTATACATTCGACGTTGCACATAACCATTTTATAAAATAAACTTTAATCAAAAGAAAACGTCGTTAATTTTTCCAAGCAATAACTTAGAAGTACATATAGGTTATGTTAGCCACCTTGCAATGCATTCGAAACAACCATACAGATGGCTATACCATAGCTAGAATTTAGCTGTATCATAAGCTTAATTGTTACAAATTCAATTCAAAATAAAGTTGAAAATTTGATTCTCTAATATATTACGAGGATAGGTTGAGTCTTGATAAAAAAAATAACTTTTATTATCTTTTTAAATAAAAGCGAGTTTGAGGGAAAAATATTGTTTCTATATCAAGCTCAAAACTTTTCATACTATCCACATATTTATATATAGGGTAATTCAAATAATAAATTATTAACGATAAATATATTTATTTGTTAATTTTATGATTATAATAAAGATAATAAAAAAAATTTACTTTGAATTGCATGGATTTGATTACGTAAAATATAAACTGCTTCCTTAAGTGTTACGAGTGAGATACATAGATCAGTAAACGACAATCCTCACCTTGAGCAACCCTATCGTATATTACGTGACATGTAATGCTTACTAATACGAATATTGCAGTTCTGCTCTAAAAGAACTTAGGAATGCATTTACGTAAACGTTATGTTAGCGACGTTTTAGATTTTTTTTTTAACAATTCTCATAACTGTAATCTGTATGTTCATCTCGTTATCGAGAATGCTTAGTTTTACTTTTTTTTTTTTTTCGAACGTTCAATAACGTTTAACGTTAACGCTTGATGCTAAAGTATCTAAACTCCTCAATAAGGATTGCGAATAAATTTGAATAAACGTATTATACATTTATGGTTTATAACGTTAAGTACATATTTATTTAAAACATACAGTTTTTTGTCTGTAACAACATTTGTATAAAATATAGACCATAAAATGGAGCATTTACGTTTGTAAAATAACTCAAACTAAAAGACTGGCTAATTTGATTAGAAAAAGTCGGACTTCTGAATATTTATTTTATAAATTTTAAAAATTTTAAACCAGATTTGTAAAAGTATTTGTATAATTTGTAAATGACATCTAAATATACACGAGAAAAGTATAAAATTTTTACGTAATTGTAATTAGCCTTTTATGATCCTATTAAAAAATTTTCAATGAGAAAATGAATTAATTGGACATATAAATTCTTACTTTACGTAAGAGAGATCGGAATGAATAATTTCATTCATTATTAATCTACATATAAAAACAAGAAAATTGGTTCAGAATATAGGTTAATTAATTCACAGTGTTATTAATCTAAATAATTACATATCAACGATTCGTAATAGTCAATTAATAAAAATAATCAATAATAATCTAATTTTGCCTTTTCATTTCTTGGCACATCATACCAAAGAATTAACTTTATCAGTCAAGATTATCATATAAACCGAAAGAGTAACAAATTTTAAATTTTTCACTATAGTTTCATTCAAGTTTTCTCTTCTCATAGATAACACAATATATGCACAATTTATTGTATAATATTAATACAAACTTATTACTATATATTGATGTCGTTAATAAAATTATATCTGTTTTAATAGTAAAATATAGTGAAATGTGAATAGTTTCATAGCTATTTAGATCGTAACATAAATAAATTTATTTGCAACTAAATTTATGTTACGATCTAATATACTAATATATAACAGGTTTTCAATACCTATGGTAATTGTATGCAGTTAAATGCAGGTACTTTAGTTGTATACATATCTCTTATGAGTAAGATACTTAGAATAAACGTTTTTCATAAGAAAACAAGCTATGGACATTTCCTTCCTGCTGAGCAGAAGATGTTCTTCTCTCAAATCTTAATTCACCACTATATGTCATGGATCTTAAAATGGATACAGACTTTGCACCAATGTCTTGACATCCGTGTTTTATACCACAAAGTAGATAAGGAGCAAATTTGAAAACTGATCCCTTGTCAACTATGGAACCACTTACCCCTTGAGCTACTTTTAATTTGTCCATTTCATTGTGGAAATATCTATCCATGGCCGAACCCTTTGCATCGGTTCTATTCATGGCTTCTAAAGAACCCATCCCTCTGTATTTTTTCAAACGAACTCCATCGCTGAAGAAGTATTCACCGGGTGCTTCTGAAGTTCCAGCTAATAATGATCCCATCATAACTGTTGAGGCACCTAAACTAAGGCTTTTAATAATATGCCCAATAGATTGTACACCACCATCAGCTATAACAGGTACTCCAAATTTTCTGGCATATTCCGCTACTTTATAGACCGCAGTTGCTTGTGGTCTGCCTACCGCCATTACTTCTTGAGTAATACAAATAGATCCAGAACCCATACCAACACGCAATGCATCTGCTCCTGCTTCTATTAAATTTTTTGCTTGAAGACTTGTTACCACATTACCTGCAATTATTTGCAAGTCCGGATATTCCGATTTGATATATTTAATCATCTCAATTTGGTAAATCGAGTTCCCTTGAGATGAGTCTAATACGACTACGTCAACTCCGGCAGCTGTTAAAAGTTGTAATCTTTGTTTATCAGTATTACGTGTTCCAATAGCAGCACCTACTAATAATTGCTTATTCTCATCTTTGCTAGCACTCGGATAACTACGATTTTTCTTTAAATCAGTTCTTGCCATTAATGAAATAAGTTCTCCTTTATCATTGACTATAGGAAGTTTTCCTTTCTTTGATTTTTCAAGAATTACATTTGCTTCTTGCAGTGTTACGCCGGCTGGTGCAGTAATCAGATTGTCTAATTTCGTCATTATCGTTTCCAACTTAGTATGTCTTTGCTGAAATGTATCTTCCAAGAAATCAATGTCTCTGGAAGTTACAATGCCTAGAAGCTTACCACCTACTTTTCCATTATCCGTAATTGGAATGCCAGAAAACCCATGTTCAGTTTTTACATTTACAACATCATTAACAGTATGCTGAGGTGATAGCACAACCGGATCTCTAATGAATCCATGTTTATACTTTTTCACCTGAAAAAATATATTTCTGTATTTTAAATTATGTTCAATCAAGGAGTAAAAAATATTTAACAAATTAAATGTTCTGAAGTTAAAAAAAAATTTGGCAGAGTACATATTAATATTCCATTACATGCCTTATGTACTTCATTGGCTTGGTATTCAGGTGTACAATTATGGTGTATTATACCAATTCCACCGCAAAGAGCCAAAGCAATTGCCATGTCAGATTCCGTAACAGTGTCCATTGGAGAAGAAACCAAAGGAGTTTTTAACATTATCTTTTTGGTAAGTGGTGATAATAAATCCACTTCTTCGGCGGTAAAATCAATATATCCTGGTAAAATGATGAAATCATTATATGTTAGCCCATCGCCGTTGGCAAACAGTTGTGCTGCCGTAAGACCATCGTCCGGTAATGGCAGATCTCCTGGCATTTCGTTACTTATTATACAGTAGTCAGCCATTGATGATAATATATACTTTTAATTTGTTAAATTTATATATATGTATATTATTCCTATCGTGAATTTTATTCCTCCACGTGGTTTTTTATATTTTAAAGAACAAACGTTAAAAATTGGCAGAACAAAAACTATATCCTTCCTTAACCAGGCAAAGTGACCGAAAAAAGCGCGTTTGCGAGCCTTATATATGTGTGCTTGAGGCTCGATGTTGCCACCAGGCGGCAGCCGAGGCAACTAACAGCTTCACTACTTTCAAATTGATTACTTCTCTTCTCTCACTAATTTTTAGTGACATTCATTTAAAGAAAAGCAATACTACCAATCATTAAAATCATGATGACGGAAGTAAAAACACAGGAGAACTATGGAGAGTAGAGGTAAGGAGTAGCATCTCTTATGGGAGAAAATGTGAAAAAGTGTCCAGCGTTTTCTATGAGTAACAGTTCAAAAACCTTCCAAAATGGCGCTGGTGAACGTAGTATGTATGGTATGAATGTAGCAATTGTAAACAAATCGAAGTATGCCGAGTAAAAAATTTAATATTATTGGCAACTAAAGTAGTTATGTGGCGTCCCGCACTTGCTCGGTGCTGACACCCCGTGGTTGATGTAGCTCCGATGTCTTGCACCTAGGGATCCTATAGGAGAGATGCGCCATGTACATTGCTGGGGGACCGGAACTCGGTTTTGCGCGCGAATGATTCAAACATTGAAATAATTATGAAAAAATGAACTATATTTAATGATAATTAAAAATTTATATTAAAATAGAATAGGTTACACGAAAAAATTATTATAAATTCAATAAGAAAGACTTAATTAWGTWTGATTTGATAAAAGGCRTTACAGTATTTTGAAATTTCAAAACAATTTGTAGGAATTTATACAATTTTGATAAATATAATTATCTACTATATATATTATATTAATAATAATAATAATAATAATAAGACAAATATATAAAACAATTTTTCAATTCGTTTATTCTGCTTATAAGTTACATACTCGTAGCAGAGTGAGTTCTTTGTACATTCATTCATTATCTATAATTAAAAATGTTTAAAATCAGAAAGTTTCGCACGCGTAAATGACGGTCAGAATGTAAGAGGGTATATTATTCGTTCATGATAAAAGCCCTTAACATTACCGCATTCACAACATATGCATAAAAAGCCTTCAAGTCTCTAGTTTCTGTTAGATTACAAATTGTCCCTAAAAAGTTCGCAGAGTTCTTTATGATGC